TATTGCAAGGCTGCTACACCACTCGACACATGAAGCACGGGCAAATCATGCTGAGGCTGTGGCTGCTGCTACAATAGAAGTTGTTGGAAGGCCGCGTGACCTAACGGGCAATTCCGTAGTGGGATCACAGGATGCCGAGTCTCCGGGCTACAATGCAAGGCGCAAGACTTGCTGCCCCAACGACATCAGGTTGAGATGTTCATGCATAGCAGCGAGCCAGCAGCGAAGTGGAAGACGCAACACCGACAGTGGGACACACAGAGAATTCTGATGAAAGTCGTCATTTTGAGGGAACCTGTGAACACCGGCCGCGACAACTCTGTGGATGCTTGTCCGCAGAAGCTTCCTAGCTGCAGCATGCGCTGTGAAGCCCAAGTTGTTCAGAAAAGGGGACCTTTGGCGACATTTCTGGTGTAAGACTCTCAGCTACACAAACATAAGGATCCGGCTTCAGGTCTACATTCGGTGCAGAGGTGCTCATACACCACCTTCCACTTGGAGTAGATCTCCAAGTGACAGCTGCTTTTGCAATTGAGCCAGTTGGCTTCGAAGGTGCAATGGTTTGCATTGGTGAATCTCTCGTATGCCAATGACATCAAACACTGCGCGAATAATGAGAAATGTCATGTCTTTGGCACCAGCTGCTTGCAGTCTGACCTATTGCGTTCTCGTACGTCTCATCTCTTGACATCCTACAAAGAAGCAGAAAATAACAGGAATCTTGACAATCAGCCTTGCTGAGTTCCTGGTCTACACATTCCGGTGAAACACGAACCGGCAGCAAGCGCCGCCCTGCAGCTTTGGCAACACTGCGGCAAGCCTCCGGTTTTAATTCATCCTGTTGCTCACAGGCCCGGGACAAGCGGCGCTTCAGCGTCATCACCGGCACGGCTCTGGGCTGAGGCTACTTGACGATGAACACTACATGCTCGCATCATCGTGCCGAGCAGGACGAGCATGCTCAGGCAGCCAGCCACGAAGGAAAGAAGAACCTCTTGACCGTGCCTACCTTCAAGTATTTGCACCTGACGATGCATCGCCCCGTACTCTTGCAACATGTTCCATCGGCCAGAGTGGTATGTAGGTATCCTGCTGCCGTATTCAACAGGTGCAACAACCTTGTTGAGCCTTCGGGTTCTTTTCTTTCGCCCCCCGACTCCACAAGACGTTGAGCATTGACCCCACGGTCCCCACACTGCCCAGCTACAAGCCACCTGTGTTCCGCAATTGTGATTGTACGGGCAAGCGTTGGTCTGCACGACATCAGCCGGCGGACACTCCTTGCCACCATTTTGAGGAAACATCAAAATGTGTCTTTTCCTCGTCCTCTCCCCTCCGCAGGAGGTGCACGCCCCCCAATTGTGCCATTCTCCCAGGACGCAGTCAATTGGATCGTGGACTTCATGGCACAACATTCGAGCACACTCGAGGACCTCCACCAGCGGCTCCTGGCAACCGAAGCCTCCATTGTAGGCCTCCTGCGCAATGTGGCGGCTTCGTTGGCGCTCGCCACCACCACAGGTGGCTGTGCATTCGGTCCACTGTCCCCATGGATGAAGCTCACAATCAACAGGTGGACCTCGAACACACTCATCAAGCAGCTGGGTCTGCCTGGCAGGATTGCAAGGCTTCAGCTCTTTGAGGGCTCCAGAGCAGAAGGATCCATCACCATGCCCAAACTCGGCAACCTTTCGCGAGCGCATCGAAACTCCATCGCAACTTGATGAGCAATCGTTCCAAGAAGTCCAAGGCGTTAAAAGACAATCCTTGGAACCCTGGCACGGGATATCCACGTTGCAGAATCGGCTCTCTCTACTTTGGCCAGCTGGTGGAGAGCCGCAGTCGTTGGCCATTACAGCCACGCTGCGCCTTCGGAACGTTTCTCCACCATCGCACGACCGAGAGCACGGAGCCCATTCCTCCCACTCGTCCCAGGCCCCGTCCACACAATGCACTGAACAGCCACCAAGGTTGCACGGCAACACCTCTGAAAGGGATTTCTGAGAGCAGGTATCACCACCTGCTGTTGGAATTGATCGAAGAGTTCGGCTTCGCTTCATCAGCCCGCCTCCACATGTCTTGGAACAACCGGACCACTGTTGCCAGGCACCCCAGTCACAGTCTGCAGCACAACTGCGGCCGTGGCAAAGACGATTCTGAGCCAAGGGAGAGAAGCATCCAAGGCCTCCGGGACCACGAAGTTTCTGGACCCGACGAGTCCTCGATTGATACCCGGAGCCACAGGAGGCGGAGCAAGAGCTCCATTCCAGCCACTGCGACACTTCACAATCCTCCGATTTGCATGGCACAGATGCACATGCCCGGATCTGAATCAGGTCTTCAGGACAAAGAGTACCACCATACTCGGGAAACTTGGAGATTTGACGCTGTCGGCGGGAGTGCCCGCTACCACAGGATGCAGAGCACTCATCCCAATCTGTCCACTGGGAAATGATGCAATCAACATCCTCACGGCAGCTTTCCGTCTCGAACAGAGAGCCGGAACAGGGCTTTCCACCCGCCCGGGCTTCTTGACGGACGGCACGATGGCGCTCTCGTTGCTTACCAATTCCGCAAGAGCTCCAGTCGTTCCAATCATCCAGCTTGCAATTCTGACGAACATTGTCTTCACAACCTGAATGCCAACTACGGCAAGCTTGGATCTGCTGCAAGACTCCGTGGCACTGTCTCCCACCATCCTCTGCGACCTGATGCAAGTGGCGAGTCCGCATCTTTGTGCCTTCACCACAAACAGCAGAGCACTCCGTCCACGGGAGCCAGGGGGCGAATAGACAAGGCTCGGGCATTTCAGCCTCACATGGTTTGGTTTGTAGCAAATCTCCACTACAAGCCAACCCCCCTTCTCTGGCGCGACGACTACATGCCGATGGCGGTAGTGCTGCCCCTTGATGGCAGCCGATGTGAGGTTCGTGCAGTGACCCCAAGCCGTCCATGGTGACAGCTTGCAGTCCACAGCATGGCCACAGTCTGTATGACAGTGCTTCGTTTCCAAGAGCGGGCCCTGGCAAGGCTCTCCACACTCGTTGTTCATCGTTGCGATGACCCGGTGCCTCTCGCACAGACCAACGCAAGTGGCGTCCGTCCACTGGCTCCATGCATTGAAGCTGCAGTCTCGAGGGGTGCACTGCTCGCAAGAGTCTTTCGAGGGGCACTGGGCCACGTCGACCTGGGAGCCGAAGCAGCTTGAGTGCTTGTCGCCTTTGAAGAAAAAGCTGTTCGGATAGCTGTGTGCTGGCAACAGCTTCATCTCTCTGCTGCGGAGCGTCGTCAAGGTCCCACATTGCTCAGGGCACTTTGCACAAGACCAATCTGTCCAAGCACATATTCGAGTCTCATGGCAGATCGACGAGCAATTTGAAACTTCCTTCATGCTCCAATCTTCGCATAGCTTGCCACCATGGCATGGCATAGCGACGATGCTGCGATGACGCCATCGCTGTCCTCCACAATGGCTGCAGCTGCCCCACTCCGACCAAGCGCCCAGAGCGCAATCGCGCTTGTTGTGAGTCTGGCACGGCTGGATGTTGCATTCCCTGGTGTGCATCAATTCTCCCTCACACGGCTTCCCCCCGTGCGCGGAGTGATAAGCAATGCTTCGCTTTCGGGTTTGCTGACCAGGTCCGCAAGTTGCTGAACAGGTGCTCCACTCTTGCCATTGGCGCAGAGAACAGTCTCGCTTCTCTACCTCACAAGCTTCAGGAGGCTCTGCTCCTTCCAGTGGATTGCACTGTTCGATCACCTTTAGCTGCATATCTTCACACGGCCGCCCACGACCTCTCGCATATTCCGTGATGTGGCGATTCCGTTCACGAACTCCATTGCAACTGCAACTGCACTCCGACCACTCGCCCCAAGAGGACAGCGAGCAGTCTTTGTCGCTCTTGCAGTCATGAAGGTCATCGCATAATTCGAATTGCTCTCGCAATCCTGTAGGCACCGAGCCACAAGAATTTGGCAGAACCTCACAGTGCAATCAAATTTCAGTCGTGAGCCCTCAATGCAAGCATTCTCAGCACGAACCCTCAAGTCACAACACCTGACCCCGATTGAATACCTTGTATCTCTACGAAGATTTTGACGTTGTCAAAGACCCAGACCTCAAGGGAGCGTCGGCGGGAGCGGTAGCTTGAAGAGCATGTGGCTGAGCACTGTGTCCAGTCCATCCAAGCGCCCCAGTATCCATCTTCACATGTGCTGTCACATTCCATCGTGTTGCAAACAGCTATGACCTCTTTGTCCTTGGCCTGGCAAGGTGCTCCTCCGTTCTGCGGCGACATCTCAATCGCACGGCTTCGTCGCTTAGTGCCGCCACCACAGGAGCAGGAGCAACCACTCCATTCCCCCCACTCACCCCAAATGCAGTCGATCGGCCTTGGTGGTGCAATCTTGCATGATGCAAGCTCGCTCATGTCACCAAAACATCCAGTCGCATCTAGGCCTGCCGGTCTTAGGATTGTCCGCTTTCTCCTGGTCACCCCGAATCCCACTTTCGCCGAGCATATGCCCCATGTACTCCAATCGCTGAACTCGCAGTCGAGAGAATGCGAAAAACATGGGCGCATTTTGCAGGGAGCCGCTTGCTTCAGCTTTATGGCCGAACAGAAATTCCTACGAGATTTGCCATGCAATAGTTCGCGTGAGCGAAACTTCTGCCCACCATGGCAAGTGCGATCACATGAAGACCATTCAGACCAAGATGTGACTTCACAGTGGTGCGGAATCTTGCTCGAGCAGCCAATTGTCTCAACCAAGCTGGAGTTGCATTCCCTGCCGAGTCCCTCCGGGTTCTGCAGAACAGATCTGTGCCTCATTCGTTGTATGCCAGCCGCCCCGCAGAAGCTCCAATCCGTCCAAGCAGAGAGCAAGCAGTCCTTCGAAATGCATGGCTTCATCTGGCATGTATGGGTCTCCAGAAGAGAGCTCTCACATGTCTGACCACTCAAATGCCCTTCACTTCGGATCTTGCGGAGCCGGGTGAATCTGCCTTGCCCACAGGATGCGCTACAAGTCGTCCAAGACTGCCAGGGGTCGAAGATGCACGGCTGAGGCCGTGGTCCTCCACATGGCCTGGTCTCTGATGTCGAGCCCATGCAAGGCTCCCCATTGTTGGATGATGGCTTGTCAACACACCTCTTACGAATGGACTGGTCCTTTTCGCTCTTGCAGGAACTCCACTCCCCCCAGGCAGACATCACACAATCTTGTGGTGCTCCACCACATTCACTGGCGTACCAATGCTTCGACTCGATGCCAGACCCATAGCACGGCAAGCCGCACTGGTTGCTCGGAACTGCGATGCTGCGGTGCCGGAACATGAGACCGATGCAGCCAGAGCCTGGCCACCAGTCACTCCACTCCGAAAACATGCAGTCCACAGGCTGACAGGTCTGGCATTCTGGCAGCTCTTCGCAACGAGCCCACTGCTCCTCATGGCCACCACATTCATGCCCATCAGCACCGTAAATGTTCAACGCGGAGCCCACGCTTGCACCGTCACTGTCAAAGTCATAAGAGAAGCCAGGAGCTGTTTCACTATCCTGGCCCCTTGTCAATGCGATGCACAAACAGCGAGCCGCAAAGCTCCATCCCACTGGTGCCATAGCGTAGGACCTCTTGAGATCCGAAAAGCTGCAAGAGAAAACGATTCCTCCTGAAGCCGGCAGGACGCTTAAAGCCGTCTACAGCATACAATCAGCAAGCATGATCTTGGCAGGTTGTTTGTGCCCAGGCACTCTTTTGCGGCTGTCGTTCAATCAGCAATCTCTGCAAGGCTTGACATGTGGCTGCGCAACGCAACCACATCACGCGTGTACGAAGCTATGCCTCAGAAGGCTTACCTTGCGTTGTCCACGGCCGAGTGACGAACGTGGTAGTTGTGGACGACCTCGTAACTTGGGTCGTTGTTGTGAGCGTTATTGTAGTTGTAGTTGCCGTGCTTGTTCCAGTCGTGGTTGTCGTGCCTGTGATAGTGGTAGTAGTGAAAGTGCTGGTTGTGACTGTCCTTGTCGTGGTGGTAGCTGTGATCGTGGTCGTGGTTCCAGTCGTGGTGGTTGTACTGGTGCTGGTCATGGTTGCAGTCGTTGCAGCTACTGTAGCTGGTGGATGGAGAAAAGAATCGCCATACATCGCGCAGGGCGGTGCCGTGTCTGCTGAGCATTTACGGCCAGATCCCACAATTGGTCGATGACAACAATTCTCACCTGGGAGCGGTGCTCGCTTCTTTAGAGGCTCTGCCGCTGCGGACTGCTTTGCATGTCTTCTCTCGATTCGCCGAGAAACTCCCACCGGGGAAATTACTGCAGGCTTCCCCACCACAACTTCCACAACTGGCAGGACAGCAGACCGGAGTAGATGGAATTCCATCACACCTTTAGGAACTGGCATGTTTGGCACAGTTTCTCTTAGGCGAGGACCGCGAGCTGATTTGCATCTATGCAACACGTCGTCCGCATGAAAACCATCATCGACGACGCATGGCGCCCCAACTCCAGAAGAACCTGCAGAATTAACTTCGCGTCGTGAAGATGTACACTCTTTCTAGCTGCTTTGCACTGGTTGAGAAAGGCACACTCCCTTCCCGAGGCAAGGATATTCACGAAGCAGCAGCTTCCACCTCGGCTTGTAAGATGCTGAACCAAAGCAGCCTGGATGGTGGATGCGCTGTCCGAACACTGCTCCAGCCTTAAACAAACCTCCAAGACACTTCCACCCGGCAGCAGTGCACAGATCGGACCACCGCAAGTTCCGCAGGAAGAAGGACAGCACACAGCAGGAGACTGGATCCCCTCACGGCACCTTGGCCACGCAAGACCCTGTGCCATCGTCCAGTTGTTTTGACGACAGACTCGACTGCTGCCTTCGCACAATTTCATGCTTGGGAAGCCTCAATTACTTTTTGTTTCACTGATGTGCGGCCCAGGGTGCTGTAGAGCAGATTGGTTTGATCCTTGTCCTTGCCTGGGCACAGCTGAGCACGTATCAACCCATTTCTTGGACGAGAAAAGCTCGGACCTCGTCGGTTTCGCTCAGGTCCCGTACATGAGCTACAAACCCTTGCCGGCACATCCCGCAGTTGACAAGCTTCATGGCTGTGTCGACTTTCTGGCTTTGCCAATCGAAAGCTGGCTTCGCAAACGGTGATCGACCCGATTTCCGGATCCACAGTCATGTGTTCTCCAGACCGCAAGGCAAACGGCTCGAAACCGATGTAAGACTGGGGAAGTATGAAACCTACGATGCCTCCCCGGCTAGAAGGAAAAGGCTAGCTAGGTGTCTCGCAAACCACTAAGGCTTTCACTCGATGAAATCGCTTTGGCTGCGAAATGCCATATGTCCCTGACCAGGCGCCCGAAAAGCCGGCATGGAGGGGTCCATCTCGAGCTCCGCTACACTTGCTGGCCTTGGACCGCATCAAAGGTCGTCCGATGTCGCCATCCACTCCAACCTCGGTCTCAGCCTAAAGTCCTAGACACATTCCCTTTCACAAGAACGCCCTCCTGCAAGAGGAGCCTCCAGCGCAAGCCTCGGCGGGTCACATCGGCCAGTACCTGACAGAGTTCCCCCCCGAAGCTTTGCTGGGCCTCGGCCCGAGAGCGAACAGCGCCGACAGCGCCTATCAGAAGCAATGCAGTCAAGAAGATCATCGGATCATCGACCTCGTTCCAGTAGAGAGCACCGAACCGCCGAACCGCTTCGGAGATTTGTCGAAGCCACTGAGCATCGGGCGGGGGGCCACCGGCACTCTATTGCAAACGGCTCTCTTCAGGCCTCGCAACCTACTCTCGGACCTCTGGCCCATCCATGGAAGCCCTGTGAATGGCAAACAACTTGAGCCAACCACGGTCAACAGCCCAACATGTCTGACGAGACTTCCGTGGGCACGACGGCCAGAAGCAGTTCACTCAAAGCAAAACATGCCCGATTGAAACGCACGCCTGCAGTTATACTTTTGGCGGCATTCTGTTTCTCGAGTTCTGTGGATAAGACCAGTGCAAAGCGCTCCTGTAGCTAGAGTCGCAACAGAAACGATTGCACCACAATCAGGATCAAGGGAAGTATCGGTGCCAATGTTGCTGCCAGAGATTTGGTTACCTGCACATGCTCAGACCAGTTCGCTTCAAGGAAACTTCTGGTGCAGCAGCGCAGCCTTCGGCACTGGCATCGGCGAGCAGCACTTGCGACCGAGCTGCCGTTGATGTGGTCGTTGTGTTGGTTGTTGAAGTCGTCGTGGTCGAGGTGGTTGTCGAAGGCTGCTCTGTGAATACGATCGTTGCAGTGTGGACTTCGATGTGCGTTACCTTACCCCACAATGGAAAAAGACACTCTGGAAAGAGATGATCAATGATCAATGGATGAGGTCTGTGCGGGGATATTTCAAGGATGTTGGAGACGGCTCAAGAGTGGTTCCCTGCTCGGAACGGATGGGCAGCACCAAATCAGTCCTAGCTACCGTTTCTACCCGGAAGGACGCCAAAAAAATAATTTGCCCCGAGCCCCAACAAGCACTCCGTTTTCGAGAGCATGGGGTGATGTTCCCACAACTCCCCCTTTTTCTCCCCCCTGCTCCAATTCAGATTTGGGCCCTCGCTGCCTTGCTGCTTCGCCTCTGCAGGGTCTGCACACCGAATGGCTTCAGGAATCCATCGGATCCGTGGCAGCTAGCAGTTCTCCACGTATGACGGCAGGAAACTTGCCAGGCATGCCACCGAACAATTACGACTACATTTGGGTGCGAAAACCGCAGGTCCAAGGAGCTCTCACCTCTGAGGACAGCCGGAGGCTGATCTCACAGCCCAGGCAATGCAGGCAAGGCATACAATGGACATACGGGAGCTCGGGAGTTGACATCTTAGGCTTCGGTCGATCTGTTGACCTAGATCCCAGCCAACAAAACCAGCTTCCGGTGGAACACGGCTCGATCCCAAACGTCGCACTCGGCCTGACCTCTAGCCACTGATGGTCACCATGACACCTCTCGAAGACACGCTCCCTGTCAGAATTCCCGAGCATGGACAGCCAGCACGGGTCAGATCTCAACCTCCTCCCACCGTCTACTTCGTTTCCCAACACACGGACACACAGACAAACAATCTCTTGCATCCAAACACTCCGTCCGACTCACATCAAGTTTGTCAAGAAAGGCTCAATGTATCGAGTCCAGAAATCTGTTCCCACGTCAAGTCATCCTGCTGGCACGGGCGTTCTACATGAACCCTGATGCAAAATTTTGACTCGCATCACATGAGCACAAATGATAAAGAATGATAAAGGTCACACCTCTGGCTGACTGCGATGTGTCAGACTCTGCGGAGAATCCACCAACTAAGCGCATGACGACTACAGTCATGGTGGTCGGTGTTCTTGATCCGGACATCTGAAGAGATGCATCCGTCACAGTGCTCGTTGTGCTCGCCTTCGATGTCGCGTCGGCCACTGTTGCAGCTGCTGTAGTAGCGGCGACGGTCGTAGCCAACGCAGTGGTAGCCACTCCAGTGGTTACGGCTGTTGTCGCAGGCACGGTGCTTGCAGCGGCAACAGGGTCTTGATGTGCGACTTGGCCTTCCTTGATACAGTTCCGAAACACAAAAACATCAGCAGAAATTGCAATAAGCCACAGCTCATTATTCGTTTTTGTGAAGATTGGTAAGTTCATGCAGCTTCCGTCATACAAATTACGTGGACACCTACCATCTGCTATCTGCTACATGAACTAACTGACGAAGGAAGCATCCAAGTCCATGCTAATTCCTGTCCATCAAAAACACAACCAAAAATGGATCAAGTCGTGAATTCCTTTCGGTAAAGTAGAAGTGAGGTAGAATACATGCAAGATAAGAAGCAGACAACTGCAGTTTGCCGTGAAGAAAATCTCGAAGAAGAAGTAGACCGGAAGTAGAACAGATGCAGGACTAACTGAAACTAGCATCATGAATCATGCTGCATGCAATCATGTTACATCGCAAGCTGGCACTAAAGTCAGAGCACCCCGTGGAGAAACACGAGCGGCCATTGTTGACCATGGAGCAGTGCTGGACACTGGTGTTAAGAAGAGCCTCTTCGAAGCAACTCCTACCAATCATGCACTGTATAGGGTGTGATAGTACTTTGCACGTTCCACAAGATCTGGTCTCGGATGATCGTTCTGCTCGTGTTCGCTGTCAGTACAGAAATCAGAAAGAAGCTAGCAAATGCAGGCGGGTGCAGGTTTAATCCGAGCAGCTTGCGCCAGGACCTGCAAATATCAGGCTGCCAAAAGCTGCGTCTGTTTGCATGTCTCCGATCCTGAGACAGCGGCTGGGGCTCTTGCGATGTGCGGCTGTATTCCAACCAGTTTTTCCTTCCACGCAGCAACCCGTCACAATCTGTAACTCAACTCAAACCGACATTTTCTTCGCAATTCAATGCTACACCCACCTGGCCTCTGACCTGATGAGAGAAGCCGTGGCCTCAGCATGCGTAAATAAGTCCTGCACGAACAGGCCGGACGATATGCTTCAAAACCACTGCATCCAAGCCACAGGGGATATCTGTTGGTTCAACCCAATACTGTCCACCAGCACGCTTACCTTGGCCTGCTCAAACAGTCTGCACCAGCCAAGGACGCATGATGCAGTCATGATGGCAAGAATGCAAATGTGATGAGCACTGCACCGGCATGCACCGTAGAGAGCATGACAGCATATAGTGCAATCACTGTCCGATTCCTCTCGAAACGGATGGATTCGGCGACGGCACAGCCAACCAAGTTAACTGGCAAATGGGCATCAGTTTCTCTGGAGCACCCATCTGTTCACATCCACCCGGAAGCTCGATACTGCAAGAAGTTTTTGGACATCTGTACACTTGTAAATGCAGCACAGGAATCCATCTTCTTTCGGCTAGGAGGAGGCTTCAAAGAGCTCGATTGTTCAGCTACTAAAATGAATCGAATCTGGGAACTTGCCCGACAAACCCAGTTTCGACTGGGCTTCGAATCGTTTGGTTGTGCGACCGAATTCCAAGACCCTGCCTCCTTCGCAACTCCAACTGTTGGGTTGGGGTGCTAATGCATCTTCAAGATGACCTTGCTGCAACATCTACAATGAATCTGCAGTACAGTGCCTCCATCTCTCTCGGAGCATGTGTCCCAGCGCCTGCGAAGGAAGGAGACTTGTGAATGAGATCAAACCGAGCTATGGGCCTCTCCAGACCAAGCAGAAGGCCACCAGGATTACGGCACTACGCTGCCACATTGCACCTTGGCACTGGCACTGGCACCCACGTCAAGCCGACTGCTTCAAGCAAGCCCTGCATGGTTCCAAGTCCTAAGACAATGGCTCCCACGCAATCAAGTATTGAACGCTTTCACAAACCATGATGCTGAAGTAAACACATGAGCCATCTTGGCTGCGACTGCCTGGGTACGCCGTGTAAGACTGCGCGCTGCAACATCGAGGGCAAAGGCAAAACGGCTCAGATGCCCTGTGTTTTTGCGAAACCAAAGTCCTCACCGGCAGTTTCTGCGTCGTTGCAGAATGGAGGCTACGGAGGTCGGCTTGGCTTCAGGTTCACCCGGGCCCACAAACTATAGCAACCGGGCAGAATCTGCTGCCAAGATCTGCGACACTTTAGATGCCTTGGAGCTCGCCGTGTTCCCACTCACCTTCTTGCGCCATTCCATGTGCATCAACAAAGCGCCCCACGCCATGAAGCTTTCCATCTTGGAAGGTTCCCTCGATGACGCTCCCATCTGGCCAAACCTCCCTGCCTGGGCCTTGAGGCAAGCCTTGAACGACTTGACCTTCAAAATGGCTACCGTTCTTCAGAAGCCCTTTGCCCATGCAAGTCCAAAGAAAGCCGTCTTCAATCTCTCCGTCGAAGCCACGCCCGCTCACGGGGTCGAAAATACGTCCATGGCCCGTGTCGGGTCGACCATCTCGCCATTTTCCCTCAAAGGCAACCTCATACGCTTGAGGTTCTCCGAGGCTGAGGCCGTCCCCCGTCGGATTGTATCTCAGGATCGCAGGACCACCCCCGTACACTTGGATGAAGAACTCCCACATCGCCTGCTCAAGGACCTGATAGTCGTTCTGAAGGCCCTCGTGCAAGCCGGCCCGTAGGGTACCATCGATGTCAAAGAGATCGCTGTTGATGATCGGTGAGGGTGGCCTATCTCTTGTCTCCATGGTAGGACGACCTACACCAACAAAGCTGCGCCAAGATCGGCACCATTTCGAGCTAATGATGTAGCCAAACTTCCCGCCCATCCACCAAAGCTGTGGCATTCGCTTTGCCAAACTTGCCTCAATCTCCTCAACTTTCGAAAGCTCCTCCGTCCGTCGCATGTGCAGGAAGGCTCTCTGCTCTGAGGGCGTCATGCTCGCCGAGATGATTGTCCACTTATCCAACTGCAGGCGCAGGTTCGGGGCTGGTTCCAGCACACATCGTCTTGAGTGCTCTGCAACCTCTTCGGCTTTCACCCGCTCCCCGCAAACGCAGCATTTGATTCGGCTGTACTCTTCAATTTCGTCTTGTGTCAAGACCGGGTCCCCCGTCTTGTCCACGTCCGCGTCCATCCTCACTTCGAGCCCCGGCCACTGCGGCGCGGAATGGCCGACTTAAGCAATGCATGTTCATTGTACCTATGCTTTGAGCACAAATCTGCAGAGCATGGAGATCGCCGATCGCAATTGAAAACGCTCAAGAGCACACAGCTGCAAGTCCTCAGAGCAGCTGCAAACTTCTAACTCTTCGCCTGGGTCAATTATGTCACACGATCCTTTGCACACTACGTTGCAGCCTACAGCTGCCAGTTCCGGATACCCCACGCCCCCACGCTCAGAGAAGAAGCCTTAGCTGATTCAAGGCACCGCCTCATGCAGGCACTCATGCTGCCAGATAGAGTTCTAGCACGACACGAAATCAGCATATCATGACGAAGAATTTACACGCACCGGCAAGACGACTCGCAAGCACTCTCTACGGCATCATAGCGCCGCAGTGGCTTCACATCCTGCATTCCTGGTGCACTGAAGGGTGTGCCAAGGTGATTCAGTCGCCTCTACCTGTGTTAATTCGCGAAACCGATTCCCTTACCTCATCAGACTGTGGCCCCGGCCTGAAGACCCAAACACTCGCAGCAAGCCATCCCATCACCTCGGCTCGTACAACCCGCGACGTTCCAAGATGATCAACTAATTTCTAGCGGGCCGCTGCATTCATGGACCGGCTTTTCATGCTGTCCTGCAGAAGGCCGGCTCCGTGCCATCTCTGCGGTGACGATCCCCTCTCTGTATGGCGGATGAAGTTGTTTTGCGCCCTCCTTGGCTATGCCAACTCCGAGTTGTGCTGACGTAGTGGAAACGCAATGTTCCCGAGGGGCGCAACCAAAAGAAGCTTCCTGGCATCCTTCAAGTCTTGCCTGCACGACATGGAGATGGAAAACACAACCACACAACCGGAAATTCTAATTTCGCCGACGTGCCTTGGTGTTTCTGCTGCAAAGGACCCCGAGACGCTGTGATCCAGCCGAAGCGCCTGGGACCTGGGCAGCGCTGCATCACAGCGTCAACAAACGCGCAAAGCAGCTCCAAGGCATCAGTAAGTGCGATGCAGTGATGCTGCAATGCGTGCATAGGATCGAAGTATGTACGCATGCAGGCCCGTTGCTCCTTACATGCTCCGAGGATTTGCTAAAAGTCGTAAATGGCAAAACGAACGGCAACGGCATGGTAGCCTGGATGACTTGCCAAGACTCCATGCCTTACACCAGCATCACGTGCATGGTAGAGCGCAGCCTCAAGATCCACCACGAAAGAAAATGGAACTTAGGAATGCTTGGCCGGTCGAGCCTCCCGGTTCAGAAGGACAAGGTCATTGTTCACTGCACGGTGCTTCCTCAAAGCTGCAGCCCGTTGGACAATGGCAGAAGCGTGCGGAACCTTTAGTATCATGGCTCGCGCAGTGCCTCCCCAATGATGTCTCCATTTTGCCCAGTACTTCTTGATAGTAGTCCTCGGATGGTCACACAACGATAGTTTCACCAGAAGGCACCGAATGACTCAGGTCACTTGGTGGCAATTCTACAGCAGAGTGCTTGCTTCTGCACACATCTGCATAATAAGTACTCGCTTTTGCAAACATTCTCACAGCCCCGCTCTTGAGCTGTTTCTGGCAAGAAGCCAGAACCTGCTGCCACGTGTGCGTATCGGCTGGCATGCTTCCCACTGGCCCCTCCGGTCCTGGAATGCCTTCGCATTTTTTCTGTGGACACAAGCGCGACACACAGCGAGTTCTGGGCTGCCTGGCCTTGGGGCCCAGGGTCTCCATGTGGCCCCGGTGGACCATGAGGGCCTTGGGGTCCTAGAGGCCCAGGTGGGCCACGGCTTGGAGCTCCTCCAGGCCCTGCTGCACCTGCAGGCCCCTGCGGTCCAGTGGCCCCGCGGCTGCCACGCTGACCAGGCTCCCCGAAGAGGCTGCTCACAACCACCCCAGCTTCCCCAGGCAGAGCCGGCAGACTTTCAGCGCTCTCCAGCGCATGCTCGGGTGACTCCCAGGGCCAAGCTACACTTTCATCACCTGCAGTGTTGGTCAGATTCTTGATGGCCTGCAGTCCATCCGATGTATCCGCTGGCGAATACAGGATCTCTGGAGCCTTGCTGTCTTCCATCGAACTGTCCGTAGGCGCGGCTTCGTGAGCCAAGCTTGTGTACACCTCCAGGGCAGTGTTGAATGCAACAGTGGCCGCTTGCCGAGCCAGCTTCTGAATGTCTTGCAGATGCATGCCGGCCGCAACAGCATGGTCTGCAGCGGCTGATGCTGCCGCTTTGGCCGAGATGGTAGCGATGTCTTGCGTGGCCAATCCGGCACCGTAGGCGTAAGCTGCAGATGCTGTAGCGGCAGCTTGCGCGACTTCCTCGGACATGCGTCCGAGAGAAGATGCCTCTCCGGCCGCAAAATGACCCGCTGCCATTGCTCCCGATGCGGCTGCTTTATCCTGGGGCAGACCGTGCTTCTTTCCAGCGGTTGTAGCTGCATCCGCAACTGCCTGCACCCTGCCTTGCTCAGGATAATCTTCCCTCTTCGCAGCTTTTCCTGCTGCTTGGCCAGCACTCTCGGCCGCAATGCTGGCTGACAGTTCATTCCCCAGCTGCCCAGAAGCCGCAGATTGGAAAGCAGCAGCAGCTGCACCAGCGGCAACCTCGCTCATCTCCTTCCCCGCGGCGGTAAGCTGATCACCCATCAACCTGCCAGCTGCCAGCGCACTGGCTTTCCGTCGAAGAATTGTCGCATTGGAGGTCTGCAATGCCATGCTCAGGTAAGCTGCAGTGCTAACTCTCTCTTCGTGCACATGTTGGCTGGCATCCGAATTCTCCAGCATGCTTTCCGTAGAGGAATCCACACGATGAGCGTTCGATCTCGCGCTGTCATCCCGATGATCGTGATGCCTGGTGGCGGGTGCTGCCAACTTGTGCAAGCTGCCCGCAGCTGACACCTTCAGGAGCTCAAGCAGCTAGTTTTCTTCAATTCCAGCTTCAGAATTCGCTGCCAAACTATATGCCGTGCCTCTAAAGGAGAGATCGTCGCCTCTTCCCTGCCCCGAGCGGAACTGCACGGAACTAGGACGCATGGGAAAAACATGTCAAAGCACCTTTCCACGCCGCTTGCCAGCATCGAGTACCACTTCGTGACACCTCGGACAGCTACCGAGCGCTTTGGACGGGTTTCGACTCTCTCGCTGAAGTCAGGCAAGGCTCTGGGCAACTCACGGGTCTCGACTCACACACTCGCACAAGGCTGGCATGGCTTCGAGTCCTCTGAGCTTACTACTGTTACGGCGACAACAGGGCCTCGAGTTTAGGGTTGTAAGATCTCTCATATCCCCGTCTCTCATTTCGACCAGGAAACCGCTGCCATCGGCGTGCACTTGGACTGTGCCAATGGCTTCATGGCCGCACACTGGCTGCGCCTTGGACGTTACGAGCCGCTGTGCAAGAGGGCGTGAACGAAAACGGGTGCACGGATCACTTACACGTGTGAAAACACTCACGGAAAGCCGAAGCCCGAAAGCCCTAAATATGCTGAATGGACGAAGTGCTGTGAATAGATCACAGATAATTGATGGAATCCTGTGCCCTAATTCCCTCACCGTCCCTCAGATGTCTGAAGTCTCAGGTCTCGGCCAGGACTGGCAGCAGCCAGAAATAGTTATGCATGTTACAACCGGACATTTGCCCGGAAAGGTCCTGACATGCTCGTTTGAGCCGCAGCTGTCAGCACGATCAAAGCCACGAGTGCCTCATTGCATGATATTGTGTGTGCACAATTCCTACGTGGCTTCTTGAAGTAATCGCAGACGCAGACCAGTCATGCAAACTCCAGTGGCATCCAGACACCATTCTCAGCACTTTTGCGATGTGCCAGGCCGCGGATCTGTACAGAGAAGCACATTTGGGCATCCGGCCCGTGAGAACATGTCACCGGAGCAGAGCAGCTGCCTTCTCTGAGAAGCGCAGCTAGCCGGAACCTCCAAACCTTTTGAGAGCAGCTTCTGCTTGTAGCTGTCTTCTGTGAGAATTGACACATTCAGAAGAACAATAAAAATAGTCAAGCCTTGTGAAAGGCTTCGAAAGCACTGGTGTCTGACACATGTCACATTTGGTTTGGGCAGCTTCCAACAACTTCCTCTCCTCCTCCTCCTTCCTTTGCCTCTCCTCCTCCTCTTCCTTCTCTTTGACCTTATTGGCCTTTTGCTTCTCCTTCTGCCTCTTTTTCTTTTCCTTCTCCTTGTCTTTCTTGCGCTGTTCCGTCTCATCTGTGATTCCTTCAGGCACCTGCGCAGATGCCCAATCCCATGCATCTTCGTTGCTGCCCCGCCATTTTCGAAAGGCTTCTCGCGCCTGCGATGTCGCACATAGATAGTACGGCACTCGGCCCTTGCTGTCGCGAGAAGTCGGGTCTGCACCCTGTTCCAGTTCCTCGGTGATCGCCTTGACATCATTGCTTTGGGCTGCCACATGCAGACTCGAGAAGAGAGGGTCATCCTCCTCGGAATACTTGACAGCCGGAGCTTCCACTGGTTCTTCTTCTGCTATCTCTTCTGAAGGAGACGCCGCCTGCTTAGGCTCTTCCGTTCTGACAGGTGCCGGCCTGAACCTTGCAGTGACTGCATCTGCAACGCCCTCTTCGCAGAACACAACACTAGCAGCCCGGAGGTAGGCTGCTTGTACCGCTTCGAAAGTTGGCTTGCCAATCATGAAAGGCAGCTTGCGGACTTTCCGCGGGTCGGGCAAAAACGGCTCCTTCTCAGTGCCAACTAGGGTCGGCCTCATTCGCTTCGAAACAGATACTAGAACCAATTCACACTCCGCTAAGTGCTGCGCCCACTTGTCAGTCATCAGCTCTTTGATTTCTTCTGCGAGCCGCTGCTCTCCATAGCGGCGCAGGGAGGAGCCAACACTCTTCACTTTCTTGCTGCTGTCGCACGCACTCTGCGATCCGCCAGCTTTTGCTCGGACCGTGTACCGATGAATCGCTTTGTGGATAACGGCCTCTTGCCCGTTGAAAACGGCCCCGGCGAAATGACCACTGCGCAACGCACACACAGCCCACCGAGGGGAGCGGGTCCGCAAAATCTCTGCTAAACGCCTGTCCAAGGACAGATCACTGCCTTCTGCAAGCGTCTCGGGTGGAATCAAAGCCGCACAAACACCCAGGCCATATGCTGAGGGAGGATCTGAGCCGCATTGCAGTCGTCGAAGCAATATAAGCGCCCCATCGACCACACCCCTGGCCCAGGCTCTGCTTTCCACACCCAAATGCCCCTCCCAAGCAACCTCGCTTTCCTCACTCTCGCTTGGAAGCTCTGGTCCCGGATCTTCGGGCTGGTTTTCCTTTTCCTCCCCTCCGATCTCAGTATCATTCTGGTCCTCGGAAGCCTCTCCTGTCCGTCCAGGAGGTTCAAAACGAGAGCCCCGAACTGATTTTGTGGGCTCGAGGGCCTTTAACTCATCAGGCAACCATCGAGAGGTGAAGTCCCAGAGCGGCACCGAATACGTAGCCGTTGCTCTGTTGAAGTGTCTAGTTCGACAGAAAACTGGGAGACCGTTCTGCGTCTCTGCATTGGCCTTGCGGTCTCGTCGAGGCCTGGAGGTTTTCGACTCCAGGTCTTCTGCAGGCGCCGCGTCTGCTAGACCGACCGCTTCCATGATTACTGCTAGGGCACTTGTCAATGCACGTTCCCTTCAGAAGCCTTCCAACAGCTGATGCAAACAACCTGAAGTTCACTGCAATCCCGACCGCAGTTTGAAGGAATGTGGACTGGAACTTCCAAGAGAGCTGGCGCAAATCTTAGCGTGCGAATCTGAAAGGATATCGGCAGGTAATGCTTCGGACTCTACAAAGTGAAATGTCTCCTGCGCTTGCACAGCACTGTCGGAGCTTGTTTTGCTTCAAGCAGGCTTCGTCTTCTTGCGCCGTTTCAGGCTCACCTGTGTCACAGCGCGCAGTCGAGGTCGTGCGGGTATATAAATATGTAATAGTAAATAGTAGTGGTAAGAGCACAAGCAGCATGACCTACAACACAAGTCTGTAAATGCGAAGGCGTCGTCGTTGCCGATTGTCCTATACTGTCGAAGATGCAGCAGATGCCACAGCAGCAGCAGCATCCGGAGGCCAACGACAGTCAGCCACAACCGTCTTTGCAGTTGGCTGTTGCACAAGATGTCGTAGTGACGGCCAGGCCTAAGGTTGAGACTTCCTGTTCCTGGTCAAAGTTGTAAACGCCGGAGTAGTTTTTTTCTGAGTTTGGAAGTGTTTCGACGTGAGATCACGATGCTCCATGGCGGCCTTCCGTTTATGGCTAGCGAGGGTTTCAAGTGGTTTGGAAGGCTTTGTGTTTTAGCGACCTGCAAGTGGTCGGCACAGCATGGCCCAGCCTTTGAAAGCACAGCTGCTTTGTACTAGAATGTAGCAGTTGGAAAAAGCAGCACGAGTCGTATTGGTAAGTTTCCCTTAAAGGACCACCGACTGTGATTTCAGAGCAAGACTGCTTTTGATAGTGGTGCGAATTGGTTTGGACGGATTTCGCTGACACCAGCTATTTGCAGAAAAATTGCACTACTCCGAGGCACGGAGTGACTTCGGTGTGATTCGTAGTGATTTTGAAGTGAGCTCACCAAAAATCAAATACTTTGTCAAAGAAAACCGAACGCATTGCTTTTCAGGAGTGGTTCGGCAACTGTGCTTTTCGTGGCCTCTGCAAAACCTGGAGCAGTTTTCCCAGTGATTTTTGCTTTTTCTGTAAGACTGGATCAATCTGGCTGGCGTCTTGGCCGATGAGGCCGAACATCGAATATTGCATCATTGCATGCAACTTGCATCTCGCAATTCCAAAACATTGCCAATATCGACAGAAATTCTCAGAGGTTCCATATGGATTCCCTCTATTCCCCACCTCGTAGCCCCCTCCCCAGTGACCCTCGCTCTTCTTCTGCCGGGCATGAGAGGCGGGTTAGATCCCTCGGCCACCAACACCCCTCCATGTTTTGTGGGGCTTTGGAGGAGTGTGAAAGCAAGTTTGTATCCCCCTAAGCTTGTGAACGTGTATTGCTGGTATTTATTATAAACACTTAATAATTAAGAAGGTGAAACAAAGGTAAACCAAAGGTATATGAGAAAGCTGAGGAAAAGGTGACACAGCAATGGAAATCTAAAACAAAGGTATTTGAGAAAGCTGAAAACAAGGTGACACAGGAAACGAGAGGTCAAACGAAGGTAACTGAGAAAGCTGACAAGAAGGTAACACACCAAGAGAGAGCTCAAGAAAATGTATCTGGAACAGGTGACGAGCTGAGGAGCAGCAGGTAGCATGCCAAGACCGTTTGAATGTTGAAGCAAGCGCACTACATTGACACAGATAGTTGTCTAAACAAATAGACATGACACGTCACTAACCGATACGACATGTTGCTCCCATGCCCAGCCCGGGAGGGCATTGTCGACAGTGTACGGCTTAAGGCTTCGACGCAGCAACAAAAGCTTCGGATGCGAGGCTTTTTCTCGAAGTTCAGAGCCCAAGCTCGGTTCTTGCAAAAACTGTTCAGCAGCGAGCGTGTTGAGCGGGGGGCAGCACACAAAGAACTGTTTTAGATATCGGTTGCCACAAAACTCGGTGTTGCACGGGTGTTGTCCTCCTGTTCTACAACATGGACCTCGCCGTCGCTCGTTGCACTTTACGTGGCTTTCTTCTCCACAAGGGCGATTCCTTCCTTGTAGAGATGTGGATGGATGCTTGCGGAGCCGCCGGAAATGATCTTCGGATTACCGATGTCAGCTCCTCCTTTTGGTGGCAGCTTTTTCTTGTCCTAACTACTCCGGGCAGCTTTTTTCAGCTTTGCTTTGGCAGGGCAGCGTTGCTCCAGCTTTTCCGTCCACCTTTTCTTTACCTCGGACTCCGGGCCCACCTTTTCTTTAGCTTTCTTTCACCTTTTCTTTAGCTTTCTTTCACCTTTGTTTCACCTTCTTTTCACAGTTTTTTACCTTTTTTGTAGCATGGAAAAAAGCTAGGAAAAAGGTGCTCGGAAAACGTGAGACAAAGCTAGTAGCGGCGCGAGCGTGTTCAGTGGGCGGCGACGCGGGGCACGAGCGTGTGCGGGGAGTGTCGGGGGCCGCGTGGGGCGTGAGCGTGCGTGGGGCGTCGGGGGGCGCGGAAGAGGAGGGGGGAGGGGGGGGGGGAGGGGTGGGGGCAGTGCGCAGCTAGCCTGTCCAGGAGAGGAGGGTGGGGGGAGGGTGCGAAGGGAAGGGTGCTTTGAACGGGGGGTGGGGCTGGAGTGGGTGGATGCGAAGCGCCCAGACTGCAACAGAGCAGAGACTTTTCTAAGTCAGCAGCAACAACAGTCACTATTCCGGACAAGCTACTAGTAACTACTAACTCCTGCTAGATTAGGAATTGTTCGGCCGGCTTGTTGAGAGGAGCCGGCGGGTTCAGGGGAGTTGATGTTATGTAACTGGTTTGTCGGTTGATGATGCTTTGATGCAGCATGCATGCTCTTTGTTTTCCCTTCTCTCGATATGGTTACCTTTGTTCTACCTTCTCCCTGTAGCTTTATATTACCTTCTTGCCAGCTTTTTAAGTATTTATGTTGAGATAGTAAATACCAAATAGACGTTCATAACCCTAAGCCATTCCTATGTTTGCGTTGGTCTTCCCAGGGATGTCAAACTTTTGTAGACACTGTTTGCAGTTCTGGGCGTAAGGTCGGTCATGCTTAACTTCCAAAAAAATAAAACAATTTTTAGAAAGGTACATGAGTTTCCCCCGGACCATTCCCCTTGTTGGTGGAAGCTGAAAGATCGATCGACAGCCACCGAACTCCGGTTTTAGTCAAGTGCATTGCTTTGCTTTGCATGAATGCCGCCAAGTCCAAACGTCTCAGCGGGCTTATCTCAATGGGCCAAGACAAGCTTCCTTTAATCTACACTAAGCCGGAAAGATGAACGCAAGTCAGTGGTTCGAGTATTGCTGCACAGTCAGCAAGATGCCACCTTGCGATATCTTCCTGCTGCCATAGACCCATTGGCGACCCCAGGGCAGGGAGAGCCCTGCTGTGCGTCTGAAAGCGCCTCAGCAAAGATAGACCCACCTCCAGAGACACCTAATCCGGCAAATCGCTACAACTACCTGCGCTCTCAGGAAAGGCGTGAGCATTATCCCGTAACACTAGACATGCCTTCATACATGCTTCTTCAGAATCGATGACGGTGTTTTTTATGCTACCGGTTTTGCCATCATGTGTGGGATGCCTTTCGGTTAATCAAGGAACAACAGGCAAAAGGAACATCGAGACACGTGACGAAAATACCACCTGCTACTTTTAAAACAGCACGGGTCTCCAAACTACAGCGTTGAACAAACGGTAGTAGCGGTAGATAGAGAGGGTCACTTTTCTTTCTTTCTGCAGGGCTTAGGGGTCGTCAAGCGACCCTCAGGCCATTGGCCCGCCCAACCCCCCACTGTGTTAGTGAGTGGTTGGCATTGGGGTTGCTCCTGAGCATGGCAATGAATTACCCAGTGTGCCCCCGGTTTTCATGCAGCGAACCCCACCCTTTAACACTAAACCTCCCGCGCCCCAATAGAGAGAGGGTCACTTGCTTGCTTGCTTGCTGAGGGGTATGGGCCCCGGAGAGAGGGTCACTTGCTTGCTTGCTTGCAGGGCGTGTGGGAAGCAGAGCGCGGAACCCTGCCCCCCTGCGCGCGAGCGCTACGCCTGTGTCCGAGTCTGGTGTGAGACGTGAGGTGCAGAGCCAGGTCGGGTGTTGCATCAAACACTCGTCCCCGATGCAACGTATGCATGAACCCCCGTAACACCTAGTTTCATTTCCCCGCCTGGCTGAGCACGCCTGTGCTGGTATGAGAAGTCGGTAGGACTCTCTCTCTCTCTCTCTCTCTCTCTCTCTCTCTCTCTCAGCCACCTGTCAGCCGCGAGGCGGAACACAGCGCCGCCTGACCCCCTCCCCCCTCCTCTCTGTGAACTTCTGGATGACGCCCAAGGTCGCACGGTGAAATTTCGTTTTCGTGAATGGATTTGCTCGGACATGCCAGGCGAGGTTCTCGGTGCGAAGTCGGTGTGACACATTCACACTTCAGGTGCTTTCCCGTCCCTGCAAACTCAGAAGTTGGCCTAGCTAAAACAATGATGCTGGTTTAAGGTTTAAGCTGTAGGGTTTCGGGTTTAAGGCCTATGAGCCTTGGTAGGCTTTCGGGTTGCTGCTTTTCGAAACAATGCACCTGCTTCAAGCACAGCCGGGCCGAGGCGGACGACGCGAAGGGCTAAATTACGCCAGAGCTAGCCGGACTACAGCCCCCCCATGCCTGTCATGTTCCACTACAGTGCCAAGAGAAAGCACTGCAAAAGAGCTCGAACAAGAGCTAGCCTTGGCAAGCCTATGAAAGAACAATATCCCGAGTCATTACCAAAACACGACCAGATGGCAACTGTGAAAACCACAAAAAGAAGTCTTAAGCTTGAGGCTCTCTCGATATGCTAGTTTCACAAAGCTGAGCTGCACAGACACGCCTTGCAGATACAAGAACTGGACGAAGAAGATCGGAAATGGTAACAAGAATGGTACTGCACGGAATTGCAGACACAACAACATGCTCGGAAAGCAAGACGACTAGATAAAGGTGGATGCGAACCAACGAGGACACAACGGAAACGTTGGACAGTTGGACAAAGCGATCAAGACAAGGAGAAACCTCTAGAACAGTCTGGATGTGTCTGTCCAGTTTTGGTTGTATCTCTCCGTGATGAACCTGACTAGTTCATTAACCTGTTTTGCGTCAGACTCGGTCATCCAGTTCCCAGCCTTGCTTGACTTCGGCGAGCTAGCTTTGGCCTGTGTATGCAGCAAAGAGGGTCCCCGTAAGACTTGCGCAAGCTTGCTGCACTTGCAAATAAGCCATGCCTCGTCAGGCAGGGCATCGGCCTCACAACAAACATTAGTATTTTAGTATTAGATATTCAGATGTGAAGCAGAATTCTTGAAAAAGGCAGCTTGAAGCCGTGCAAGATCTCACAACAGAGAAGCTCAGCAGCGCACTGCCGCTGCACTTTGGCACGGCTCGTGTCCTGCGTTCCGGAGGGCAGTTGCTGCAAGTATGGCCCAGTATGGCGTCGGTGCGTGACTCGTCCTACAATGCACATGCAAATGCCAGGCGTTGCCTCCTTCAAGCAGAGGCTTTGCTTCGTTGTTGACCGGCTTCCTGCAGCTTCGTCGCTTTAGTACATTAGGACCATTGCATGGGGCATCCATGGACATCCTGATCAGCAGAGCTGAGTGCCGCTGTGCGCGTTGGTTATTTTGCTGAAGCCGTCGTCTTCATGATGCCCCCGAACGTTTCAACGTTCAAGCAGCGAACCGCAACTGCACATCTAAAGAAGACGAATCGATTGCACGATCCGCTACTCGCCGAGTACCCTGTAGGATCAGTGACGCAGTCAGCCGCGGCGACCAGCACCTGCTCAGCTCGCAATACTGCTAGGAGGCGCACAAAGCGCTTTGATCATCTTGTGCGGCCTCTACGGCGGGCGTCAAAGCTCCCAGCTTCTCTGTCGAACTATAGTCCTGCGTGGCAAGAGCGGATGGAAGAAACGAGGCTATCCCACTGAGCCCTCTGAGCCTACGCGAAGCAGATTCTCGTTCTGGGCAACGCGCCCCGAAATCTGACCATCGTTACGGCAGACAGCTCGCGCGCAGGGCGAACGGGAACTCACGCAACCCCCACCGGCAACTGGGAGCCAAATTTGAAAACTCTATCTTTCGTCTTCGCTCTCAATAACCTCCAAGCCCCCACGACCAAACAGTAAATAGACGACGACACCCCCGTCGTCTTGTTGGTCTGCCCCTGCAACCAGGCCGAGGCGGACGACGCGGAGTGCCTACAATTACCCCATACGCCCACCCCCAACTCCCCACTCCAGAACCACCGGTCCGACGCTAGTCAAAGCACAGAAGTGCAGAAAAACTTGCACAAACCGGGTCCAAAGCTACGACCTCCGAGGCACCTCGTAGACGACGACAAACTAAAAGAATTGCGAACTCCAGGAAGCCCTGAAACTTGCACAGCCCAGAATGTAGAAACATGGTGCGGCACCGCACGGCTTTCCAACTACTTGCTGAACAAGTCTCCGTTAAGCAACTGGGTTCACGACTAACATGAGAGGTTTTATCCGAAAGCAACCAAAGACTGCATCGGAGGCTGGCAACCACTGTGTCAACACCAGTTCTCCTTGTAGGCTGCAACCTCGCCCGTGCCCTTGGTTCGACATTGCACATGTTTGGAACGCAGACTGAATCTTTGCCTTAGCTACCGCCGGTTCGCTTCAGCCAAGCTTCTTTCCAAAGTGGCTATGTAACTCCTGCTCAAAGCGCATAGTCGGCCGTAGTGCGAAAGGGTCCTTGCCCGGATACGAAATTTCTGACACGACTTGTGTACATGTGCTCTCGCCTCGGGGACGACTGCCTTCGCCATCGTGCGGTCCTCATGCTTGATATAAACTCAGTCTGGCAATGGAACCTTGACATGCTTCGCGTACTTCAGTCTTGGCTCCACGAATTCAGCACCTGCTCGTGCAGTTGATTTCACCGATTGCCTCGGCAGCCAAACGGTCAACGCAAGGCAGGAGCAGGTTGGGACAAGAAATCATTCAGCGAAGCAGCACAGGCGACTTCGGCTCTGGACTGAGAGGCACCAGAACTGCCGACGTTTTCTTCCTCTGAAGGTGGAGTTTGTGCTCGTCTGATTCCACAGGTCTTCGATGTTCAAGCGGCGGGACCCAACAGACCGAGCGAAAGCGACCAGCATTGCTTTGATGCTCGTGCTCGATTCGCACTGCTGCCCAAACTGCACGACGTATGAGCTCCTGATTGCACCCAGGCAACAACATCAAAGAACCGACATTGAATCAGTGGAGGGCCTTTCAAACTCTATCCGAGGCAAGTCTCGAGCGAACTGATCATGAACGCGAAGCACTCGCGGTTGAAAGTTGACGCACGAACGAAGGCATGGCAATCGGGCAGATATGTCAGCAGCCAGGTCGTGCGCAGAGCCACATCCACGAACGCTAGAACAGCGTACGAATGGCGAGGATACAAGCGGTGCCGGTTGCTGACTGTAAGCCCGAAGTCCACCACGATGTCCCAAGTTGCCTAAGCAGCAGAACTGGAATAAAGAGGAAACTACTCACATGTTGCCTACATGAGCTTTTCTTATTCCAGAGTTACGTGTCCTGTTGTGATGCATGCAGAGTGCGCAGCACGGTTGACACTACAGACAATTTTCGGCCAAGGTGCAGCATAGGACGTTGCTGCTATGTAACCTGACAGGACACTCAGCGACTAAGTCTCCTAGCAATCCGGGCTTAAGACCACGTTCATCATCTGCAACGATTTAGGACAGGTCCAGCATCCACTGGCACCGTGGAGCTGCGAGACCAACTTTAAAGCTGCGAGAAATCGAGTCTCTGCGATGCGAGGTGGCGAGAAGCTGCGACCGGGGCCGGGGTCGCAATCCTGTTTCCTGATTTTTTTATCGTTTGTCTTTATGTAAATCCGCAGACTGTCGACGGATGTTGGGCCTCCAGCCACCCAACAGAGCTAGAAACGACACAAAGATAGTCTTGCCACGGCACCGACATCGAATTTAGGCTCAAAACTAAGCAAGCACGGAGTCAGGGTTGTCAATAAGCCCAAAAAGGGCGTGCTGTAGGCACAGAGTCTCGAAAGGCCATCTAGCGCCTGGCACCCGTACCGCCAACTAAGCTCCGCGCTCAACATCCGCACCATGTCGAATTCTACTGGTGCCAGTCCCAGCGGAAGCTGATGGACGGCAGCCAGCAAACTGACGATAATTGCCAGGCAATACTTCACACAGTTGAGCACGTGCCTTGCTTTGTCGCCTGTATCGTGCATCCGGCGCAGGCACTGTGCGATTCGGAAGACCAGTGGCAGCACCAGGATTAATTGAAGCATCGCCCATGCGAGCCCCTTGTCTTGCTTGCATTGTACCCGAATGTCACGGGCGTTTAAGGTTTGCCAATTGCGAAAGTAGCATGAAGTGTAGGCCACATCTTTTAAAGGTCGGCCAAACGAGGTCAGAAAGTCAGCGAAAATGTTTTCGGCGAAGCTAACTTCCCCGAGCAGAGAGAAGCAAAAGACGCGCAGGATTAATCTCGAGAAGAGCTGGCGAGCGCCCCTCGACACCCACCAAGAAGTTATGCAAAGCTGTAGCATCAGCACGCTGAAGGAGTAGACGTGGGCCAGGGACCAGCCAAGCTTTTGAATCTCTGGGTGAATGTTGAAAAGCACGGCACCGAATTTCATATCTGCCAGGAAGCAGAATGTGAGAACAATCCAGACTCCAGTCTGAACAGACGCATAATTCAGCAAGGAAATTGGTGATACATCCAGGTCTGGAGAAATGTCTAATAGAAACAAATAATTGATGTTGTACCGCTCGAAAATACTGGCACATGCACCAGCCAACCAAGCTGTTAAGCTCATCATGAAGGAAAGGCGGAGAACCGGTATCGTAGCCTAAGCTGTAAGTCTCTGCAGCAAGACTTGAATCACTCAAGCAAGCCTGGCCTGCGAACGGGTAGAGACGACCTTTTCCTGTCAATCATCTGCCGTGAAGGTATCTGGTATTTTGAATTTAGAGCTGAAAAAAGAATCTAACTGGAAATTCCGATCCTCGCGGATTACACTAAACCGATGCAACATCTTGGATCAGAAGCATTTGTTTACCTCTCTGTCTTCGTTGTTCCCATCCTCGGCAAACCGCCCGAGGTGGAGCAGTAGCAATGACGGCCCTCCCAAGGTCTGTTTACGGTTGCCAGCTTCTGCTCACTGCTGCATGCTGATGCTGGCAACTTGCCAGTGCTGTTGGTGCACCCCTGTCAGATGACCGAACACAAATGCTGAGAAGGCTCAACTGCATGCCCTAAAGCCCCCGAGACGAAGGTCATGGGGCATATTAAAGCGCTGTTTCGTGGAAAACTTTTGATTAAGCCGCAATCCCGCACAACTCCACAGAGATCAGAGCATAATGCCCACACTTAGTCTTTCTGTCCAAGCATTTCACGGAAACGAAGAACCTTCCAAATTTGTGCCTCCATCCATGGCTTGCGAATGCCGTGAATGCCCCTACTCATACGAATACACACCTGTTCCAGGAGCAAGTCCGCAACATGGACTGCGGCCATTGGCCGAGGCACTGCCAGATCTTCAACGGAGTAGTGATTTATTTGAGGCTCCATTCCAGACAGGACCGCCAACACTATAAGTGCCATGGAGATTACACCAAGAGAAAAAGAGATCCGTGCCAATGCCCACAGATTCTCGGTGACCGACTTATCATGCGGAGAATTCATCTGTAAATCCCCGTCCAGGCCAAGCTGGTCAGCAAACTCACGCAGCTGACACTTCAACCTCTCGAGTCGAGCTTTCGCATGATCATTGAAGGGTTCCTTCTCTTCGAAGTCCTTGAGCTTTGAAGCCAGTGTGCACAACCCGGTCTGCTTGTCATGCTTTTTCAGAATCTTGTAAACGGCTGTGTGGTTTGCATCCAGGAAGTGACGCAGATCAAGAATCTTGCTCTGCAACTGCTGTGTCAGGCTCTGCAGGTGCATTCGCAGCTGCGGCTCATGATGACTTCCAGAAGCTTGCTTGAGATCGTCCTGCGCCGCGCTAAGTCGAGCCTCCACTTCGCCAGCAGTCGATGTGAGGAGGTAGTTCACCCGATTGATACAGGCACTCAGCTCCTCGAACCACTCGTCGCTGATCTTACATTCGTATTCACCGCGGGGAGAGCCTTCGCTGGAAGAGGCGCCATCGTTTGCTTTTGAACGGGGCCTCAAGGCCCCGTAGTGATCCTTAAGAGAGCGCTTCAGCCCGCCGTAGTCAATGTAGAAAGCCTCCCAGCCAGTGACCTTGTGTCTTTCCAGCTGCTTGCCAAACTTCATTCCGACATCCGCAACATCCACCGACTAAACAGCAGCTTGAGAACGACATCGGTCAGGACATCATCCGAACATCGAATATGCAAGCCTAGTGGGCTTCACTGATCTCTGCGGCAGATCGGGTCCTCTTCCTTTTCTTTGGAGATGGAGATGCGTTCAGCGTGGGTGCTTCCTCGCTCTTGGAAATCCTTGGCATTCGTGTATCCGTGCTGCAGCAGTCCATGTCGTTTCTCTGGCCTAGCGGCCGGATTCCCAGCTCCGGTTCGTCCTTTTCCGCTGGCTTTGGACTCGCTTCAGACTTCATCCAAGGCAAAGGGCGGTGTTGAAAACCACCTCAGACCAGGGGGTGCTTCGGCGGTACCTCTGATTCGCCGGTTCGTTTAGGCGGGAACGTACACCGTCCTGGCGATTTGCTTTCCACACCATTCTTGCAGCTTGCTGCTGGTCCAGAGGCGTCAGTTGCACCTGGTAACTCCGGTGCAATGTGGCAGGGGTCTTGCGAGCCCAGAAGCTACGGCTGCGCCTGCAGAGCAGTATCCTTCACGAACCATTCTTCTGGCAGGGACTGCCCTGCACAGGATCGTATTGCCTGCACATCTCGCTAGTGGTCTGCATCATGCTGAGGCCACAGCTCATTTCACGGTAAATCTGCTTCTGTGGCCGATTATCTGTCTGATTCGACGTGGTCAGAAATGTCTGGTAGTAGTCGTACATCTTCTCCTCAGGGTCCATCCGGTCGCTCTTCCAGGATGCTCCCACGATGTTACAATCCATCCTTGAGCTCTTGCCAGGTCCACGTATGCTCGGGGTTCGGTGCCCAAAGAAACTCCTGCACAGGGAGCTGGATGGTGCCCAGCGACTAAGACAAAGTGCCGGGCAGTGCGAAAAGGTGTGGAGCGCCTGAGCGACGAACTTCCAACTTCGCCAGTGGCTTCGCCAGTTGGGATACGGATCTCCAAAATCCTCACACCGAACATCTCACCGCGTGGGCTCCGGATCGCAACCGAGCCGCTTACATCCAAACGAACTGGTGCATCTAGCAATCGAAGAGAAAAATCGACCGGCCTGAAACTTCAGCTTTGGAATGTCAGCAGGCATTGCAATGGCGACCTGGCATCAGCAACATGAGCTTGGCAAGGAACAGCCGCTTCTAGCTTGGGTTGGCGCCTCGGTGATCATCTTGAGCAGTTCCTCCTCTCCAGATAGGACAAGAGAAAAAGGAAAGTTACCAACACTTCAATGGCATATTCCCACGCATCTCAGCACTCTTCGCAGCGGTGGTTCCTCGGTGGAGCGACGCTGTGCAGCAGCAGAGGCCTTGCAGATGCTTTCTGCAAACAGCTCTACGATGTCGCTGCTCAGTGCCTCTTCTCTGGCTTTCAACACCGCCTTCCACAGCCTTGTATTCGACCATTCCGCTTTGAACTACGACATGGACTGCATTCACTTGGCCACATGCATTTCTGCGTCATCTGGCCCCTTCACAGGCGGAGTACGAACACAGGATCGCTCGAGCAACGTCCAGTTGTGGGCAATGACAATTACAGCCCCACCTGCAAGCGATCTCCCAAGTGCTCTTTGACGAATTTGCAGAATGCTTTTTCCGTCTGGGGTGCCTGGAATGCAAGCTGTCCTGCAGCGGCTATCAAGCAAAGACGGGAAAGAGCTGCACCTGCTCGAACTCGAAGAGGTTGTGCAACAGTGACTTCACGTGCGGTCTTGCCGCTCGCTTCGCGGCACGAACGATGTCGTGCCAGGCCTGGCTTGTGCCACAACTTGCAATGTAAGAGGAGCACCAGCTAGAGCACCAGCTAGAGCACCAGTTGCCAGCACAGGCCAGCACAGCCTGCTTGTCAACGATCACACGGTGAGCTTCGCACCACCCGAGCCACTGCAACCAGTAAGGATCCTGAACGCCACTCGCCCAACCAGAGCTCCAACTCACTGGCGCAGAGGACTCGGCCCGACAATGCCTCAAGACCAAGCCTGCTGCGCTGCAGCGGCAGCCCCTTTTGCAGCTGCAGTAAAATTCTCGTGGCACGGACATGCATAGCATGTGGCATTGTCCGCTCGACCAAAAACTTTGACAGGATGTGCCAAGTGTTGCCACATGCCACAAGCAAGTTGAATCATCATCAGCAGGCTCCTTCAGTTTCCATGACTTCGGCGCAGTGTTTCGGCCATGCTGGGTGCTTCCATGCTTGGCTTGCCACCTGCACGGTCCATGACCAGTCTAATTGTCCGGCCTAAACTCAACTCCGTTCGGACAATCAAACATTTCGATGCATTGAACATTTTGCGCTCTGCCTTCGCTCTTCCACGAGCACCCTGCATCGCCCAACCAGATGTTGCTTACTTGAAGGCGAAACAACAAACGCACTCCGTTTTTGACACAACGATCTGCTGTCAGCATGTTGGAGCAACCTTCACATGTGGAACTGTACTCGGTATCTTCCACCATAGCATAGCAGCAGTACATTCTGCATGGCCATCCACATGCAAGAACCCGAGTGCAACATCTTTATCTTGCACGTGGGGCTGAACAGGAATGCGGTCCGGAAAGCCCCAGCCAGAAGAGCCTAACACAGCCTTTGGGGGCGCCAGGTCGAAGGCAGCTATGCCAACCCATAACGACGAACCACAACGAGAATCGAAAAAGCGTGCCCGTAGCCTAAACCGGCACAGAGTCCAACACACGCAGCCACGTGCAGGCAGAGTTGGTGGAGCCGACGCAAGAACCCAAAGCATCAGCAGAGCCGGTCCTTCTTCAAGGTGAGGCCATGGCCAACAACGACCAGGCCTCGTCGAGCACCTCGGGCAGGAAGAAGTGGCCATGGCGCATGGTGAGCAAAGTGTTTCGGGGCAGTGCTAGCTGCTAGAGCTCCTGGCGAGTCAGCATCACATTCAGCCGCCGCCAATCGGCAAGGAAGCCCACCCGTCCAGCAGCATTGTTCCTGCGAAGCACAAACTAGAGTCGGAAACATCAGCTACTGGCAGTTTCTCCTCACTGCGGAGAAAACGATCAGTTCCTTCTCACGGCCTTGGAAATTGTCGACACCTGAAAGGCAAGCTCTGTGAACGAAAGCCACACGCGTTATGTACCTGCAGAATCCTGCAGACATGGAGCTGGCGATTTCAAGCGTTCCTCGAACAAACGGGTCACACTGAGGCAGCGCAGGCACGGCTTAGCTTGACTTGTTCCAAGGGACTGGAGTTCTTCGCTGCATTCCATTTCATGCCCCTTTCCTCGCACGATCTGACATTGAAAGAAAGGGCACCATCGTGGGCTACTGCAACATCTCTTCGCAGGTCTCGTGTCCGCCGAGGTCTTCGGAGTTACTTCAACCTCCACCGAAAGTTTCGAGACACCCATTTTTGTGCGTTTGCCACCCCCCTGCCCGGCTTTCCTTTTCCCTTCATTTTACCTGATCTTTCGGCCTTCCCTTGTGTCTCGCTGAAAAAGCAGCTCTACACGGCGCCCCCACACCTGTTCAATCGTAGGAGTTCTGCTCAAAGAAATCTCAATTTAGCCGTGATCTGAACAGATGTCTTGAGTGATACAGAAGGCTTTGCCGTTTCATCCGGCCCCTGCACCTGCGGAGCCGAGGCGGGCGGAGTAGCGTTAAAATTATGTGAAATGAACCCGCTACTCAGATCTGTCCTTGCAGCGATTCCTCCATGATGTCCGAAGAAGCCGCACCTGTTTACCGTCCCGTTGCTTGTCGACTGTTCGTTTCGAGTGCTGTGACCGTGAGTCGCAATGGCCTGCGCCATGTACGGGGTCACCACTCCGAGGTCTGCTGCAGTGCAGCCAGCATCCAACACGGACCTTGGGTCTGCTTGCATGTGCTCAAAGAGAGCAACATCACATGGAGTACACACGTCCGTCTGCCGACAGCGTCGACGATTTTACGACCGCTTTCAGATCGAGAAACTCGATGATGTGAACCACTTTTTCTGCTTCAGCCTGATTCATCTTCGACTCGTGCTCCTCGGATTCTCCTGATGTACTTGCGCGAGTCGCACACACGCCACAGGACTCCACACTCGCGGCACGCGCTCATCGCACCCTTCCTCATCACCTTGTTGCCAAGGTGCGTGATGACCGCCCCATCTCAACGAAAGCCACTGGTACCTGGTCATCAGGAAGGCAGAAGTGAAGAGGTTCAGTGTCAGGTGTTGGAGCCTTCTTCCTGGGCCAATCAAAGCCTTTCATTGGAGGACGGGCGCCATCGACGATTCCGCCTTCCGTGCCATTCCCAAGAAGATCAAAAGCACAGTGGCGGGGAACTCTTGTTGTCAGGACTCGTTTAAGTGAGCGACTCTTCAGCCGCCCTCCGTATATGGAGCTTGCAACCCACTCCACAAGCTTCGGGTGGGAACGGAACTGCGTGTCCAAGAAGTATGGCTCCAGGCCCTCCTGCACCAAGCTAAGACTCACACGCTCACATTAACGGAGACGATGTCCGTCCTGCACAAGGCGACCGTACAGCGACAGTGTCAAGCCTGCGCAAATGTACAGAAAGCTTTCATGCAACCCGCGTTGCCGTGCTGCCCACACATTTGAAGGCTGGCCTCTGCGCTCTGCCTTGCAAGCACTCGACAACTGGCTGCAGAATCGTAGCACATCCTGCCCCAGCTTCTTCCATGCCTCTTGAGACTGCACCGTTGGCGGCAGCTGGCCTTAGCTGTTCTGAGATGACCGCAGCTCGCCACGCCGCCACGCCGTGCCACCAGCAGTGCCAAGGGGCAATGGTCTCCCGCGAGTACGACACGCTCACAGCGTCGCTGGACCTTGCAAGGGATTACGGATTGGATGAAGCCTGTAGCCCAGGGCCAGGTTCGGCTACACCGATAAACTCCAAGGTCAAGTCAGCCAGAACTGCACCCCACGCTTAGGATATGCACCCGTTGAATCCCCCAATCCTGGTCCCTATAACTCCAAGCAGTGACGGTGCAAGCGATGGCGTGCTCTTGCAACTAGAAAATGTCAGCCGGACTGAAACGCAACAGTATCTAGCTGTGGTGCACAGCGACAAAAATTGTGAAATGCCTTGACAATGACTAGACAAACGAACATAAAGTCATTCAAGCCTAAACATGCCTCCAGGAACCTTTACTGCAAATCAGTCGCGATGGGGACGAGAGACACTATTTCCGTGGCTTGTGCCTCGGCAACAGAACTTGTAGGAGGCTAGGCACTTTACTTCGGGAGATCGGCCGCCAAGTGATGCAACAGAACATGACTGCCACACATCGCGCCCTTCCGATCACGAAGCACCAGCGATCCAGTGATCTGCAAGCTGCAATCTCGTCAATCAAGATGCCCTTGAAAGGACCAAGCCTGCTGAGGCAGCCCAAGCAAAGAGATTATTTGTCAGGCAGGCCTAACAAATAAAACCAGAGCAGATACTCACGTACTCTTGCAATCAAGCAGCTTTGCAAGTAAGCCCCCGCCCGCAGTAATTAACCTGAGATCTGTCCATGCTCATTGACGGAATGGAACCATCGGGGACCACTCTTGTGCAGTAAAAGCATCTTGCAAGTGACAAGCCTGCAACCAAGCCGGGGAAACTATGGGCGCTGTGGGGCTCCTGTGAAAAACTTGAGAAACCTCTAGGCTTCTGGAGTCTTCTGGTAAGAAGCCGATAGACTTACTGTTATAAAGCGAAAAGAAGGCCCTGCGCCTGGCCCGGGCTGGGTTGGGCCTTTCACATGTTTCTAATCTCAGGATTGGGTTGAACAATCTGCCCAAGACTATCTGCTCTCTGTGTTTCTGCACGGCCAGCAATTTGCCAGCAAATTTCTTCTCCCTGCCCAAGTTTCAAACGAAACAGGGTACCTCCTTCTACCCCAAAACGTAGTCATAGTCTTCACCGAACTCTGGCATGGAGCTGTGCACAAAGCACGTCGGCCTCACGAAGCGCCTGCAGTGGTGGCACTTCCACGCACTCAACACTGCTGTCACGTTCTGCCACGAAGCGAGCAGAGATCATGTCATGGCCTGGAGCTGCATCTCCGCATCCTCCCTGCGCGCTTGAATTCGCTTCTGTTGCTCTTGATGTTGCGCTTCCGCTTCAGTTCCTTGGGCGTGCAGAAATCATCGATTGCTTGCAAAAGCCTCGGATGTACTCATGTAAATAACCTGCAACCAGCTTCGAGCTGCCAGAATTTCTGCCGCGGCTGCCTCAGCTTTGGACGCCTGTGGATGTCATGCCAAAGACAAGTGCTGCATCGCAAGCCCAATAAACAACGTGTGGCCTCTGCAGTGCGGATGGACTCCAGCGCGATTTCAAGCACCTTCGCGGCGGGTATGTCCATCTGCTCACCTCGTGGCGCTGCAGCATCATTTCATGACTGGTCTCTGGAGGCTGCGGCCTTCTCTGCGCTGCTCCTCACTGCTTCCCTTTGCTTGCTGTTCACTGACCTTGCAAAAGGTCGCATGCTGTCAGGAAACCCTTCAGCATCTCTCCAATTTCGGCTTGGGGTATGGAGGAGTCTGGCAGCCTATGTGCCTGCGATCGCAACATGCACTTGGGCATCAGAGATTGAGCAGCTTGCCTTTTGGGCTTTGCAAAATGTTCATCTCACGGAACCTAACCGAACCTCGTTTCTCTATCGCCAATATCCACAGATTAACCTTAGGCCCGAAACTAATCCTGCCAACGCCGACCGCAACGGCCCACAGAAAGCCTTAAGCAAAGAGGGGCCCACTCTGTAAGGACAGCGCCTCTGCTGCCTGTAAGGTGCTGTGCAGAATGCCTGCATCAGAACTGCTGGCCAAACGAACATCAACCGCCAATAAGCTCGAAGCTGCAACTAAGGCCCGAGCGGGCATTGAGATCGGATGCCTCTCAGGCAGTAGCAACACGTAACACATCCCCCAAGCTACGCAGGTATACATCAGGTAATGTAGTGGGTATGTAGCGATGAAACAGAGCGGCGTGCACCGACTTCTGGGTTCCGAAAAGCGGTGGCAACGTACAAGCGCTTTTCAACTCAAACATGCGACTGTTCCAAACGGCATTCCCCAACGTTGCAGGCGCGAACGGTCAAAGCATTTCTGGTCGTGCAACATGGTTTCAGAATTCGCTCCCAACCCTGCCCACATGCCACGCCCCCACACCCACACCCAGACCCAAACAGCAGAAAAACACACACTCTCGCGACTCTCCCTATCTCTGTCCTGGAGCTTGAGATCTCTCAGCGTCATCTGCTCCAGAACGGCCATGGCTGCTGCTCGCTCCTCGGCTGCCTTCTGCTCCTGCGAGCGATCACAAAGAAAACGAAGCGCCTTCCGTTTATTTATTCCAGTCCTGTTTCTGCGTCTTCATGCGACGGAGTTGGTTGTCCAGAGTTATTTCTTCCAATTCCGGCCGGATCTTCTCTGGCCGACCCACACGTACCGCTTTCACGTCGACCTGGACACAGCCGTGCACAGTGTAGGACGGCCAGTGAGGCTCAGCGCAGCATAGCGCAGCAAAGGCACTCCCTGCTTCGCCAGCCCCGCCTCTCAAAGGGGCAGAAACAACTTCAGCTTAAGCGGCTTAACCTGACCGCCACAAAACTCTCTTCGTTCCGAGTTAAGCCAAGCAGCTGCTATGTTGTCAACCGCGATGTTCCCATCGGCCACCGCCAGAAGTGGTTTCAATCCCAGCTGGGCCCAGGAGCGGAGGATCTGCACGGCTGTCGCAGTTTTGCCTGGCACCCAAGTACAAGCAGAAGAATACGATCTGAGCATGTTTGGGATAGGCCGGGATATGCCAGGAGCAATCATGCCGGCAGCTCTTTGAGTTGTCAATGAAAAAGACTAGTAACTAGTACACTCAGGCCCACAACTATACATGCTATGCATGCAGATACACCTCACGTCGGCTGCTAGCCACTCTTTGCCACTCTTAGGATTATTGGCAGGCGGCCTGTGCCGGGAGGGCCTTGGATGATGGTGAGGCGTCTTTCACACGTGGCAGCCACAGCGCGCCGCTGGGAGTCCGTGCATGTAGCAGGAATACTTTCAACACACTTCGTCAGCATGGTCGAATCGCAGGTCATCTTCTCGGCAGCTATTCCCGCAGTGCCGGTCGCAGCCATTGTGGAGCTGTTGGGGGTAGATTCACTGTCCATCTTCTTCAAGTTGGAAACTCTTACAGCTTTTACAGAACCATTCACCTGAACGTTTATCCGTATGTCTTCACCTTCAGCGATGTGCTCACCCACTTGACGGATGCTCCCGTTCACGGCAACAACTTCGCCCTGCTGATTATTTAGATCTTCGGCCTGAAGGCCGTGTAAGGTGACAACCTCACCTGGCTTGAAAGAGAGCTCTGCAAGCTCTGCTCTCCTTTCACAGTCGGTTGCGTCTGTCTGCCTCTGTGAGACATCTTTTGAAGTGCCCACTTCCAGTGAGTTGGCGAGCCCCACGTTCGCAGACGTAGACTCGCCTGCCTCTGTTTTTTTCAGGTCGCTCCACACACGCGATGCCCAAGAGTCGGCTCGACCCACATTTCCATTTCTGATGATCTCGAATATCTTTGAACAATCCTCACTTACCGAGGTGCTGTCAACGTAGCCGGTACAAAGGGACACAAGCGAATCCAGCTGCCTCGCATAGCTCAGCCTGTTGCTTCCTTTGTCAACTCGCCAAAGACGCTGTTTACAGCCTTGCGGAGGCGAAACTTCTTCAAAGGAAAGCAAAACCCACTTGTCTGTTATATCCTGGAGCTGTCCTTCTGCGAGCCTATCCTGCAGCGGATGTGTGGCGGACAAGATAATGCTGTCGCCCTTCCGAAATCGCAGCCTGTCAACGTCCGTGTTGGGTGGCAGCCAAAGAAACATCTGAAAGCCAGATGCGGTTCCCTTTCCTGATCCCTTACGACCCTTGCCTTTGGCCTGTCGTTCCACAACGTCGCGAACACGCATGCCAGTCAAAGCCCAACCACCTCTTTCAAGTTCCTCTCCCGAACGTCGCGAAGCACGTCGACGTAGCGTAGCGACTTCTTGCAGGTATTCCAGGTGCAACAGGCTGCAGAAGTGGCCGAAGTATCGTGCACTATGCTCACCTTGTGGTGAGATGACATGTCCTTGAAGGCTGCTCAAATTAAGCCGCTGCAATGCCTCGATACCCAGTTGCTCTTGATCAACGAAGCCTCCAGGATCGTCTTGAAAGGCTTCGACGCCTGGCGGCTTCAATTGCCAATCCGCCTCTGTTGGAAGCTCGGAGAGCTCGGAGCTGTCCTTGCTCTTACCCTTGCCCATCAAATCAGCGCCGCCCATCCGTTTGCCCAACCACCACCCACGCTGAACAGTGACTGCTCGGCGACGCTTCTTTTTGGCCGTTCCTGCAGCGCCAGCATCATTTTGAGTTTCTTGCTCTCCACGCTCACGCTCGATACTGTATTCCCAGAAGAAACAAAGCAGTCTCATGTCTCCAGATGCTGCAGGCACCTTCCTCTCATAGGTGGGCCTCTGATGCTGGCTTACATGATCAAAGTCCCGCGTGCGCTTGAAAACTCCGTTGAGTTCTGGCCAACAGCCAGAATTCCGGAAGACCAGCTCTTCAGGCCATTCCTTCCCAACTTCGTCTTTCTCCTCCTCCTCGACGTCCTTGTCCTGCTTCAAGATACCCTTGAAACAATCCCGCACCGGCGATTCGGGCCACAACTCCCCGATACCCTCCCAACAGCACAGTCGCCGCGGAACAGATTTGAGGTTGAGGACCTCCTAGGTCCTATAGGCCGTCCTGCTGCGCCAAATGTTTGAGATGCTCCCTCAAGGCCATGTATGAGTTTATGAGCGCATTTGTGTCGGCTGCCGTGATTCACCCAATACTCACGGACACGTGGGCTTTTCTCAACAGTCTGGGCACTGACAGCCTCTTATCTCCCCTGTCCCGGAAAGAAGTCCTGTGACTTTACTGGTTGCATGAGATCCTAACCACAAGATGTAAGTCTGCACTGCCACTTGCCACCTCCCAGATTTCTTGCAGGTTTCCTCGGATGTTCTGAGATGTCACGGCAAGACTAGCTGCTGACAGGCTCGCGTGTCTGGCGACAGCGGCCTGCGAGGCCTGCAGCCCCTGGCACATGCCAAGTCTCCATCGCACATCACAGTATCTTTGACGCCCCTCTCTTCGAGAAGCACAGGGACTGGCTCCCGACTTCAACCCCGATCACCCCACCACATCACTAGTTGGCACTGTGGAGGGACGATGCGCCCACAGCATGGAACATTTGTCATTTGTCAATCACTCAGCTCATGATGACCATCCCACAGCGTTTGGCAAAAGCTCACGCCTTGGCAACCTGCTCTTTCTTCTGGGGACTTGAACACACGCAGCCTGGTTCGTCAAAATTACAGCAACGCGCAGGGTCTTTCTGGAGGTCTCCGGAACTGCTACAGCTACATACAGCTACCAAGCTTTCCCGCAGTTTGGACCAGGAGATAACAGGAAACAGCTCACGCAGACGACCTGCGAACTGCGAAAGACGCTGTCCTGCACGTTCCGTTCGCAGATGACTGTCTCGGAGTCTGTGAGAATACCCGGTGCCACAGGCACCACTGGGCTCTCCTGACGGGTGAACACGGACTTCACATGACTTCTGACTCGCCGTGTCTGTTTGTGTGCCCAAGTCTAGCCAAGCGCCTTGCTCAAGGCCACATTGAGCAACAGCCGGACTGCCGCCGGCCGATAGCAAGTTGGATCCAGAACCAGCCTTTGCAGCATCCCTGCATAGGTTGGTATGTCGAGTGTCATCTTCGGACCTGACTGGGTGCCAAAGAGACCCTCGGCAACCTCAACGAGTGCAACGGGTCCCTGCACCGCGGCTCGTTCCAAAATCTTGGCCACCAACTCCTTACTCTGTTCGGCTCGAAGGCAAAATGGGGGAGTGGATTAGCAAATTCAGCATAGAATCTCATCCTAGCAACAAACAAAAAACGTCAAATTCCTTTGCGGCAATCAATCGTATTCCACTGCTTGCAGGGGCTCGGGCCGGGCAGGGCTCAGACTTCCACCAGTTGCGGCACCCGACGTTCTTCCCTCCAACAACAGCTTCAATCCAGCCAGGACATTAGTGTCGATGGCCTCTGACAGCTTCTTCTCCCACTCTTGCTCTTCCGCCTTTCGTTGTTGCGCCTCGGTCTGGACTACGTTCGTCTCGCCTCGCACAGGCGCTGGATGTGCTGGTGGCCGAACCGTGGAGCCTTTGGAACCAGGCCACGGCCATGCTTGCCAGAGGTTGTGCCAACCCTGGCTCCAGCTCGTGTAGTCATAGTCCCCGTGGTTGAACATCGGATCATCAAACATTGAGTGGCCGGTGTACCAGCCGTCCCAAGTATTCACGATTTGATTCGGGTTGTGCGAGCTGTTCCCGTGTGAAGAGCTTGCACCCTCACCCGAGACAGAGCCATCACCAGAGACAGTCGGTCCCCAGCGTGGTGGCACGGTTGGCCTGGCAGCAACACCAAAAAGCACCAAAGGCTGGGTGACATGTTGTGACTAAACTTTCCAGCGCTTTCCGCAAAATGACTAGGTGTAACGAGTTTCGTTTTGGGAAAGCAGTTATGGCTGGATTCACTCCTCAGGTCGGAGTAGACGGGGTAGGCGGGGGGGCAGGTGGGGTAGTGGTAGGTGGGGCAGGTGGGGTAGGTGGGGTAGGTGGGAAGAAGTTACGTCTACGAGGAAACGAGCTACATCCAAGAGAAGGAAGTGACAACTTAGCCTGCTACCTGCTGGGCATCTCGTGGCCATTGCATGGCCTTCTGGCGCTGGATTTCGGCACGGTCTGCAAGCCCGGCAGTCGGGTGATCGAGTCCGGATTCCTGCAAGCATGAGAATGATGATTCACCAGAGCTGCCAACCGCACACCTTCTCTGCAGCTGTGAGGCAGCTCTTCTCCGTCGTTGCCCTGCACCGCAGTGTCTGCAGCGGCCGGCACGCATCCCGCAGCTGGATTTTCCTCCTGGCTGCGAATCGACAGGACTGTTGGACCACTTCAAAGTTACACCTCGTGCTACCCACTGCCCGACACCCTGCAGGACTTTCAACAACGACACGCGCTACCGGCACATTGTGTCATCTCCTATCCATCAGCGGCTGCCAAGCCTCCATAGATGTACATTGGGAGAGGCTCGGCGCACCTCTGGTCCATCAGCTCACGCCATTGCATGTGACACAAGTGGCTGGGCCCAACAGTACTGTATCTGCAAGTGTGGGAACTGCACCAAGCATCACGAAGTCATAGGCTGTTTACTAGGCATACTACTCCCGTGCCCATAAATGGCTAGATTCATGATTCACAGTCACGGTCGGCACTGCACGGTAACTTACATGCAGAACGGAATCATGGCATTTTCCAATCAGCGACGGTTGGCGAAAAGACTAGATGAACAGGGAGCTCCTGCAGGGTTTTGCATCCTGCCGTCCCCTTTGTACATCTGAACGACATACAGTTGCACCGGCAACTTGCTCACATCTCTCCTGCATGTTCTGTACAAGCTGTACAATACACCGTGGGTTCGCGGCGAGCTTGCCGGTAACAAAAATCAAGCACGGTAGCATCACGCGCTGCGGGCACGAACACGTTGCAAACACACATCTTGCTGTGAACTTGTCCTAGCGAGTATCGAGCACTCGCGTTTCAACACATGTGTTTCATCCCAGGACCCATGACAATCACCCCTTCGAATGACGGTGTAAGTGTCGTCATCTGCTTCTGTGATTGTTGCCAGAAACGAGGCGCTGCCACCTGATCGGCCTCCCCAACCGTCACCCTGAACTCGCACAAGGAAGCCAGCTTCCGGTGGCCGAAGTGTGTGTCCAAGAGATTGGCGGATCAGGACAGAACCGTTCTTTGACAAAGAAACACGCTGCTTGCCAACTATACGACGCCTGGCTGATTGCCGTGGGAGCTTCGGCGTGGACGGCACCGTGTCGAGCCCGGCCCTGGTGCCATTGTCGACAAGCTGCTGCTCAACACTATCAGGCTCGCTCCTTCCATTGCATATTCCAACCAAACTTTCTTTGCCATGCTGTTGTGGAGACAACTCCATCTGCACATCAAGCGATGTAGGGCCCAAAGAACTCTCCAGCCCACTTTTCCTGCCGGACACACCGTGGTGCGCAGATTCGACCACCAACGTCGGGGTCAACGTGCCCAAGTTTGTGGGCATGTGTGCGTCGACAGGTTGGACACCGGAAACATTCACCAAAAGCTGCTGCTCAACACAAGCCGATTCGCTTCCTGCATGGCGCGTAGCAACCACAGTCTCTTCGTCACCTGTTTGCGCAAGCAACTCCATCTGATTGTCGGGAAGCACATGGCCTGGAGAACCATCCAGCCAACCTTTTGCGCCGTGGTTGTCAAATTCGACCACTAATGTAGGTGCGATCGTACCCTGATTGCTGGACACGGTCGAGTTCCCGCGTTCTACTTTGGCCTCATCCGGCGAATCGTTCAGACCATGTTCATCTGAATGAACCTGTGGCTTAACGATTTCCTGCACAGTCGCCCCAACCACCTCGACCTCCTCCTGGACATCATCTTCTGCGTTTGGACTTGGTGAATCCCGCCACGTGGATTGTGATGGAGCGAGGCTGGAAGCTGCTCGCAGGAATGGCCTTTTGCGTCCACGCGCGGCGACATTAGCAGATCGCACTAGCTTCAACTCTTTCTCTTCATCCTCGACACCAACTCCACCGACATCCAGACACGCATCTTGTGCGATCTTGCTGGTAGACTTCGCAACCAAAGAACTTCCATCCAGATCAGAGTAAGTCTCCAGCTGCAAGCTATTGGGTGCCAAACTCGATGCTGCTCGTAGCAGGCGTCTTCTCTTGGCATGATTCAAATCATCGCCTTCCAAACAAACAGGGTTTGGAACCTCGGAGCTGCGAGCTTCGACACCGGCTTTGCCCATCTCCGCCAATTCGCATGCTGTGGCAGGAACAGTGGGAGGTTCGACCATGTCGGGCGCTGCCATGCCAAACACGGGTTTTTCGATCTGCTCGTGTTTGAATCATTCGAACCGCAACAAGCAACCGGTCGATATACTGCTGCGTTGGGTGCCTGTGTATCGCATCGCACATGCTGCCCGCTCTCTTGCTCAGACTAGTGTGCTTTGATGCTCAAACAGAGTGGAACGAAACAACAGCAATTGAAGGCTGCACCCCAAAACACAGACATTATGGTCGCCGCCACCCCCCCTTCCCCCCCCAAAGGTCAATGGTCCGGATATAGGGTGGGGCCCCCCTCCCCTGTGGTGTGGGTTCCCTCTTCTTTCTGTGGGGTGGTTGTGGGAGTTTTGGGGTTTTGGGTGTAGGTTAAGCTTTTGGACGCGGCGACGGCGCGCTGTGCAGCGACAGCGAGCAGCCCTGACTGGCGGGCAACCTACACCGCACGCGCTACTGCTCGCATGGCCGTCTGCACGCCCGAGGCACGTTGCCCGGCGAGCAACCGGAGCCAGGTGGCAGCCTCTGTGCCACACCAGCCCCCCACCTCAACACCGACGACCACCAGGCGGCCGCGGCGAGCGCGCACGAGCTCGTGGATCGACACCTCGACCAGGGTGCACGGTTGGTTTCGACAACCCTATGCGCTCCCAGTGCATCCTGAGCCACGGTGCTGGGACAACCCCATATGACAAGTTCATAGCCTGTCCGGCTAAGCTCCTTCGCTCTTTGAACAAACCCTGGTAAACCATCGTAAGCGTGAGCAAAGTTTTCGACGTCAGCTGGCAGGTTGAACACGAAACCCATCTAGAAAAAGAAAAACGAACCATTTCCGCATGGATTCTGGCCCGTTTTGCATCCAGACTTGTGCAAAACCGAAATCCTTTAGCTCTGCGCAACTCCTCACGGACGGCGTTCGATGCTTACCATGTGCTTCGATTCGTCGTCTTTTCGGGATGCCACTTCGCCAGTTAGAGTCGTATACACATGTATGTTTCGAGATCTCTACTTTTTGCATGCCGAATTGCATTTATACTCGACTTACACTCCGCAGAAGATTCCATGCAGTAATATGCACTTCAATGAAGGTCGCTCTGCAGTGTCGTAGCGGCGACGAGCTCTGGCCCTTTTGCATCAATTATAAGGAACTGGTGGGGCTCAGGAGCGCGGTTTGTGCACCCATCTTTATGCGCCTGTTTAAGCCAGACGTCCGGCGCACGAAGAACTACGGAAAGGCGGCGCGAGGCCCGCAGAGGTCTCAACGAGGCCGTTGGGCACAGGGAGCTGTGAGCGCACGTCAGCAAGAACCTCGTGCAGCTCCGGCTCAGGGAGGCTGCGAACGCACGCTGCGCCGCAACTGCAAGCAAGCTGGACCACCGCACTACCCATGCAGAGCGTGCAGCGGCACGCAAAGCTGCAGGGACGTCAGCGGCCTGTTTGCCGAGGAGCCGGCGCCAAATTGCACCTTCAACCCCAAAGCGGTCGCCGGCTTCAACGCCTACGACCACCAAGCGGCAGCGGCGGGCACGCTCAAGTTCAGGGTTCGTTTGGCGGCGTTTGCGTCGGCCCATCTGCTCCCGGTGTCGGTGGGGGTCGCCAGCCCGGGTGACAGGGCTATACAATGGTGGCATCGACCGCCTCCCGTGCGCCATGCCAGAGGGAAAGCCCGTTCGCCACGACTTCGCTGCGTCGGTCGTCAAAGACCGGGACGTCGATGTTCATGTCGGCGAAGCGAACATTGCAGGCGACCCGCGCACCAGCTTCATGGCACACGCGCGCAACGGCCCGCTCGACGGGCAAAGCGCGAGATGCCAGCACGCCAAAAGATCAGGACCCCGTCGTCGGGGGGGGGGGGGTCTGAGGCCCTCCCCCCCCCCTTATAAGGCTGAATCCGTTTCAGCCACCCGCACGAAATAGAACAGAGCCTAGGGGGGGGTGAAGGTTCCGTGAAATTTCAACAGGGGTGCTCGGAGGGGGAGGTAGGTAGGCTTGGGTGCGCAGATCTGTCCATGCAGTGAAAATTTCGGCACTCGCAACCGCTTTTTTTGTTTCGTCTAGCAGCTCCCCCTGGTGCGCCAACAAGCATCAGCTTTTCTCAAGCTTGTTGCACCCGCCCTTCTTTCCCTTTGACGTGGGATGCACATGTACTGGAGTTTCTAGGCAAGGTCGCAAGCACGCCGTGGCCACAACCCTTTCCCCCAGCAGTTTCCTGCTTGCCGCCCAACCCTTTCCCCACATACTTCAAGCACATTTTGCATCGGCGAGCTCCCGCGACTTTAGCGTGCAGCAAGTTTGCGCAGGTGGTGCCCGGGCCAAAGAACCCTCGGCAGGCTTTCGTGCGCTCCTGTGCGAGGTTCACGGGCATGCGCCTGCTTTGCTGCCGGTGTGATGTGGGATGATCCAGACATGCTGCACGTAATTTAGTAGATTTCTAATAGAAATCTAGTAGCAGCCTAATAAAAGAGGCTACCATAGCCCCGCATAGTAGGAATTTATTGGATTTCTAATAGAAATATAGTAGCAGCCCAATAGAGGATGCCTCCTAAGATTTCTCATAAAAATATAGTAGCAGCCTTAAAAACGAGGCTACCGGAGCCCATCCTGCGGGTGCGAACGGCAACTCTCTTGAAATGGAAGATGACTCGCTATCCCAGGACAGCCCTGAAATTTCAAGCCCGACCCCCACCCCCCAGGTCTGAACCCGCACCTCGACCGAAGCTGCCCTGAAATATTTCAGAGCCTCACCCCCCCCCCTCCGCTTCAAGCCACAAGGGGGTGGTGATGCCAAAAGTAGCACATGCAGCCCTGTGGCCCTGTGGTCCCCGAGCGGGTCGAGGCACGCGCGTTAGGCGCAGCAGCAGCAGCAGCAGCAGCAGCAGCAGCAGCACCCGATAGAGCGGCGAACGCACCATCACTTCCGCAGAAGTGGGGAAGACTGTGAAGGCCTGTGCAGCACGCGGCCTTGCCTGCGACAGCAGCAGCGCCCGAGATGCGGCACCAAGGTGAGAAAGATGCAAATCGAGTGCGTGCTTGTGGCTGGCAAGGGCCGCCTATTGTTGCCAGCCCCGCAAGACGTCCCCAAACTCTCACTGGTGAGGCCGAGGCGGTGGGCCTTGCAGGGAGTTCCAGTCAGGAGCCTCGTATCCCTGCTCACGAGGCCAGGCCGTGTGGCGTGCTGAAAATTGGAGTGCAGCGACCCATCGACCGGCTGCTTCGGGCGCCCGCAGACGGATAGTTGGCACGCAAGCGGCCCATGAAGCCCAATATGCGGCCGGAGCTGCATCGACAGCGGACCGTACGCCAAGGCCTCCACACCGGAAAGGGAAATGCAAGGCGCGTTTCGCGGGCTCGGGCATCGTGTGCTCAGAATTCATTTTGGAACAACAAGGTTGCGAAGCAAGCACGCACGGCCACATCGTGCTCGCGGGCAAACTCTTCCGTCGCCCCTCCCTGGCGACAGCATGCGGAGGAAGTAGCTTGCTCGCGGGGAAGCAGAGAAAAGCAGCAGAAGCCATGCACTGTGGAGATCGCCGACTGCGGGCAACCTGGAGAGCAGTTTGTCATGGACCCTGCACTTGTCGCGCAACATCCGCTGGACGCAGGCATCGCTTCCCAGGGGTGTGTGCAACTTTTGTGTGCAGGAAAGCTCGGGTGGCGGTGGGTCGCTCCGAACGTGACGACCACCGCATTGAAGTTATCACCTCGGGTGGCGCCCATCGCGCAGTCGACGCAACGCGTGTTTCCTGTGGCTTCCAACGCAGGTCTGGGAGCTGTACTGCCCGGGTTGCCTTGCTCAGTGTGCATGAGTGCACATACCTTGCATTGCTTCGGTCCCAGCCGCGAGCGGCTCACAATGATGGCTCTCGAGCCGACCGCTGGCGGCTCAGCTCTTGAGATTGGAGGGGGCAAGCAATGCTGAGGCCGCTACGTTTGTCAGTGTTTTCGCCACGGCTTGAAACTCCATGCATGCAGACATGATGAGCTCCGGATCGAAGTGTTCGCCAATGGTCTGCAGTTCTGGGGGGGCTCGCAACTTGCCGTTGACACTATGTTTGTGTTGCCCGGTGCCGGCGTGGCCAGCGCGCTGCGTGTATTGCCGTCATTGTCACGCAGTGGTGTGGACCTCTACCCTCGCTGTTGCACGCTCTTTTGCTGCCAGCCTGTTGTTGGCATCCCCTCCCATTTTCAAGACCGCCAATCTTGATGGCGAGGCTCTCCTCTTGAGTGGCATCCTCGCGCATGGGGTGAGCTTGGTTTCGTACTCAGGATGGTTGGGTTTGTTCCCGTAGTGGCAGTTTGCTGCCCTCGGACCGCGCCCGGATGCCTGCAAAAATGTCCGTGCACAAAACTGTACCGGGCGGGATATGAGCCGCCACCCTGATGCGCTGCCGCCATCTCGGCTTTTACTCCCCGGTGGTCTGCGCTCCTCTTTGCTGCCGCGCACTCACTCTTTCGCAGCCAGCTTGCTGTCCTTGCAGTTATAACTGGCACGGCCAATGTTGACAGGGAGATGCTGCCCCTGAGCGACGTCTTCGCTGACTTGCCTTCCCAGCCGCTGCTCGCCAGCCGCGTAGTGTGAATGCGCTCTGCCCGCGCACTTTTTGCCAGTCTTTGCCGCAAACTGTCGTTTCGGGCACGGGGAGGAAAGAACCCCGAAATGAACTGGCATGACAATTTGTTCTTGGCACCTAAGAGGACCCCCCTGACCCGATGGGACGACAATTCAACCATCCTCTCGGGCCTTGTTGCGCTCACAAACAGGCTTGTCCTTGAACGACCAACGGTTGTGGTCAGAATGTGAAACATGCCAGCATTCGATTGTCACATACATCAAGCATTCGAGCATATACATATAACAACAAGCCCGCCGCATCGAAGTCGTCATGAACGGCCTGGCCCTGTGGCATGGCTCGCAACAAGCCGTAGATTCCAGCCACCAGAGTTTGCCCCGTCACCAGGGCTGGTGACGCTCAGCCACGGTAGGTCAGTTGTTGATCTTGCGCGGCTGCAAAAAACGCAAGCAAAGAACAAC